CAAAACAGACCCGTCTTGGTCTATATGAAATTTTCTATAAAACACAAGATCCATCCATCTGGATACATCGAAAAATTATGGATTTCTGTTAGAGATTTTCTTAATTTTATTTCCTATAACGATAAATTCTTTAACTCAAATTAATAACATACTTTCCATTTATAAGACACACAAATACCCCTTTTAAATATATTTGCCTGTTTTGTAAAAAATCAGAAAAGTCGTTCCTCAAAGTTTTGACAAATAACCGTAAACATCCAATTAAAATGAAACTACGTTCAAGTCTTTTAGCAGGTTTTATTTATCATAATGAATGATAATATCTGTTGGATTATCTTCAACATTTTGAGCACTTCTGGGCAACATCTTCCAATTATTGAGTAAATCACATTTACCCGTTACTCCCTTTTATCTGTTCATTCTTTTCTGAACTGACGAGGCCACCGACAGGACAAGTGAAATGGACGATCCTTTCTGACGACTTTTCGACGAAATGTCTTGGGCAAGTTTTTCCTAAATTCGCAGCGTAACGATTAGCAATTTAGGATGCATGAGATGAGATGAGAACTAAAAATCACAATGAAACGAATAGAAGGCCTCATCGCGCAAAAGGGATATTGGAAAATGTAGGCCGACCTGCTTTAATTACGCTATATGCTGCTAGGATTTTGATCCTGAAGGGCCGAATCACAAAAAAATATGTTCATTCTTAAAGTAAAATATAAATGTCACGTCACCAATCATAAATGAAGCCCCCTTCAATAGTATATTGCCATTAGGATTTGCTTCGTCACGCGATAGCAAAACTGCCTTTAAAGTAACAATCCTGTATTTTTTCCGGTTTCGCTGGAAATTTGGGTTTAATTTTAATGGATCCACAAGTCCCACATATTGTCCGAATGTATCCAAATGGAGATTTGGTACACTTCGCATCATGATAATTCTGAGAAATTTGTGGTTGCTGAGCCTTGTTCCGTGAGGACGATATTGGTGCGTTCGGGTGTCTAGTGCAGGTAATCCCATCGCCAGCAAACGGAACTTTATTGAACCCTCTATTAGAACAAATCTGAGCAGCTGTAGGTTGCCTTGCTTCGTTCCTCAAGGAAGGCGCGCCTTCCGATTTAGGGACGTACTTTTGAGAGATATTAGGACTGAACAAATTATCTTCTGGATGAGAAAAGAAACCGGACATCAATTTGTTCTGTAAAGAGTGAGGCATCGGAGCGCCTTGCTGTTTAGGCGCTTTGGCAGCGACTTTACCACTAAACAAACCATCTCCTGCAAATGGAAACGTATATCCTCCCTGCCTCGCTTTGTTGTGCGGGCAGGGAGCTCGTTGTGGACTTTGCAACCTAGGTGTGCATATGGGGATGTCGTTCCTAGCGGGTCGGTTTCCTGCAAATGGAACCGTAGCGTATCCTGGATGGACATAAGGAGTTCCAAGTTGCGTTGCACGGGGAGAACAGACCGCAGCGCCTTGTGATTTAAGGACGCACTGGCAGCCAGGTTTAGGGGTACATTTGTACTGCGGTTTAGGGGTACACCTGCAGACAGGGGGCGTGGCTGCGTTTTCCCGTTTAGCGAAACATTTGCAGATGACTCTACGAGCGGGCGCGCTGTCTCCTGCACCTTCTTTAATGCCTGGAGCTCGGCCTGGAGTTTCCTTTCCTTTATTTTCGATAACTTCTTCCGCTTTCGCGACTTTCTTGTTTGCGACATCACCCATTGTTGCCGGTCTTCCCTTATCCCCATCATTTCTAACTTCCGCGCCAATCCTTTCTTCCCCACCAATCCTTTCTTCCCCACCGCCTCTTTCCTCGATATTGGCCCCTCCCGCCGTCTTCGCCTTTTCTTTTTTGGCGCCCGCGCCGCCGTCGGGTTTCTTTCCAGCGGCCTTCTTCGCGGTAGTTTTTTTCGCGCCTTCCGGTTTCTTCTCTTGCTTCTCTTTTACATTTTTCGATCCCTTACCCTTCTTTTCGGTCTCCTTTTTTTTTGCAGTGTCGGGAGGGCCTGTGTTAGCAAAGTCGGTTAACTTCCGTGTCTTTGGCGGTTGGGCGGGGGCACAGGGTTTGGCAGGGCAGCAAGGATTACAGCACACTAAATACGGGACATAACAAAGTGTGCAACAGGGCGGATAGCTAGGGGCACAGCATGGCGAACATGGATAACAATAGTACGGGTAACTCATCTATCCACCCAAAACATTTTATTGCACTATTAATTTTGTGTTCTGTAGTGACAGTGACATTTACATGTGAACGCCTGAGACACGGGTGTGGTTTGGATAAACTGCGCTGTCAAGATTTCGGACGGCGAGGGGATAGCGGTAACAATAGCAGCAGCATTGAGTACTTAGGAGTAGTAGTAGTAGTAAATATTTTAAAAAAAATCCACATATCCGTTTCTTCGCTGCCCCTGGGCAATTATTTCTGTTGATAATGAGCAATTAAGCCAACTGGTGACGAATCCAACGTAAAATGTGTTAGCCATGTGTTTTCGAAGACAGCCCAACTGACCTTCGCCTCATAACAAGTGCATACTCCGTGAAAGTAAGTATGAATTGGCGCCTGACTTACTTGGTCACAAATAAAACGCTACAGAATACTTTAAACTACGGGATAGCAGAACGACTTCGAGATAAAATTCAAGTTACATCGCAATATTAGGATTTAGGTCCGTTTTCCAGTCGTTGAATATAGATATATGGAAATACGATATTCTGAGCGTTATGATACTAAAACTAAAATACCCAAATCTAAATTATTAAACTACTGCAATTTAAACATGCTATAATATTAAACGATAATAAATAATGCATATAAAATAAAAACTGGCAAGTAATAACTGGAAAAATATTATCTACTGCCAAATTCTAACAAAAGCACTGCATAAATATAGAAAATTTACACCAGCTGGATATTTTTTACAATAATTTTACACAAAACTCACTACATTATTAGCTAATTTGCTATCGTCCTTGTTTGTGCTCTGAAATAAGAATGTTGTCTTACATCCAGGAAAAAATGTGAAGCAAAAAAGTACTAAGAAAATTCTTAATATAAATGGGAAAATAATTGCACAGCTGGTACACAACGAAGAGTGACTCAATCAAAATGTGCATGAACAAAGAACAAATGTAATTCAGATATAGTAATGTGGCGAAGGCTAAATATAAATCTTACGTAATATACAGGGTGTTGTACAAGCTCTATGACAAACCTTGACAGACGGTAGCTGGGTCAATTTCAAACATTTTTTCTTACATGAACATACAAGAAAAAACGTTATGAAATTAACTCAACTATTCGGATTTACGCTTCTTTTACACACGTGCGAAAAGCGTTAGGTTATGACAAAAAAAAATTGTATTCAAATTTTTTTTCTACTGAAAAAAAGGTGGTTTGAAAAAAACTGTTTGTTTTAGTGTTCTGTAAATTCGGAAAAAGCGTTTTATGAATTCAGAAGTATCGCAGCAATAATATCTGTAAAGGGTGTAAGAGGTCAATATTCGGTAAGGGGTATCAACTTTTTTAAATTTAATTAAAATTCGGTCAGCATAATCACGAAATGAAGTAGGGGAATCGTGTAGAAAATGCTTGGGGATTACTGAGATAAATTTTCTGGAGTGAATCCAACGAAAAAATGTTTAAAAAATATTCTCAATGTGGCACGTGATTTTCTAGAAGACCCCTAAAAGTCCTATTTTTTACGATTCTTCAGTAAAATTTTTTTCTAAAAAACCGTGCCAGAACCTTGTAGAGAATTCATTCAAGTTTCTGAAACCCACCGTCGATTTTCTGTGCAACCATTGGTTTCTGAGAAATCGATGAACAAAGAGAAAATGATCCATTTTCATTCAAAGTCCGATAGCTCAGCGAGAAATGGTGGTCGTATCGAGACCAAAAAAAAAAAAATGGAAGCTAAATGAACAACCTATCTAATCCATAAGGTGATTAAGTTGGAAAAATTTTTTTCATGATATATTTTTTTTTTGCAAGATCCAAAAATTAGAAACTTCAACCTTCAAATTGCTTTTTTTACTCCAATACGACCATTTTTATTAAAGATAGACAGCCATTTGAAAAATTGCCGAAAATTTAGATTTTTTTTTTGATCCCTTAATTTTTTCCATTAGTGTATTTACAAATAATATTTCTAAGAAAAAATATAGATTACAGCAAATATTTCACATAGTTTGACGAAAGTATACATTTGAATAGAACAAATTAAAAAACAAACACTTACGACAAATAATTCCATTTAAAACTGTCTGCTCATTTAATGCAAATACTTTTTTTTCAGTGTACCATCTGTCAAAGTTTGCCATAGAACTTGTAGAATACCCTAGGTAAATTTGTCACATTTAATAAAAAAAAAATTCATAAATGTTGAGTACCTACTAAAGAATAATCTGTTGCTAGTTTAATCAGACCAAAATTAATTTTACAATTAACTGTAAATGGCTTAAATTTTCAGTACAAAATGAAGTAATGCAAAAGAAGAGAGGAAACCAGTATGCACAAAATGACAAAGGTCTGAAGTAATTTAGAATCATCAATAATTCTGACCGGTGCAAAGAACTCATTCATTTTTACCATTTCCTAAATTAGCTCAAACTATTTTTAAAATCAGTCATTGTTTATTCTATTCCAAATTTATTGGGGCGCGTTACATACGTCTGTTGATCCTTTCCTTCAAACGTTGAAAACGAAATAACAAAATAATAAAAGTATTTGAACTAAAAAGTACGATTAGGATAAGATAAAGAAAATTATTACATATATAGCGAGAAGGAATATTAACAGTACATATTTGCATAAATCGAAAGGCAAAATGTCATACTGATTTTTTTAAGTCCATCAATATTATTCTCAATAATTCTCTTACGTATTTACATAGCATTTGTTAGAAGAAGCAGCGGTTAGTACACAGTGTTATATTTACACAGTTTACATACTCGTAAGCGTTCAATTATCACATAAACTGTCGCTTTAACTTACCGGGGTAAATGCTTGAGAAAGGTTCTGCTTGCCGTTCGCAAAATAAAGATCACACTGTTAGGATAGTGTTAATTGTTAGAAAAAGTGTATAGATTTCATGCATGATTCCTTCAAATATTAAGTTAATTATCTGGTAAGTGTTTGTTGACAAAGATTGCCATGTAGTTGAGAAATGTCGATACTCAATACGTTTTTTCAGATGTACTTGCAGAGAGTGTAATTGAATTTTAGATTAGTCACAATTATTATGTTACATTTTTATATTATTAATTTTACAGAAACAAATATGTTGTTCGAAGGTCCGCCAGTAAATCGTACATTCCAGGTGCGTATCAAAATTCAAAAACTTATACTAAGCATCCTTATATTTACACCATACAAGGCAACCTTTGACATTTTTCAGAAACTGGTCAATAAAATCTGGTTGTGGAGTGTTTGAATTTTACCACTTATCGTCGTAACCCAATCAAAAGTCCTCCACAATTCTCTAAAAACGCCCGATTTCATTGAACCAGCCTCCCCGATTAAAGTAATCATGCATACATTTTCAAAACTTGACTCACCCAAGCGTTCTGTTTGGTGACCTTTTCGGCCTGGATCAGGGGCTCCTCGACCACTTCGTCATCCAGGGACGGGTACAGTGGCGGGGTTTGCCAGGACTTGGGGTCCAGCTGCCAGCCGTAACCGTTGCCGTGCCAACCGTAGCCGTTCGCGGCGCTGGGTGGTTGCTGGTAGTGGATGGTAGGGTAGGCATTGTTGTATTGTTGGTAAGGAATTACCGGGTAGGGTGGTTGGTGCATCTTCGCGTAGCTTTACTGCAATAAAATGGAAGGAGTTAATCAAGAAGCTCATAACACTAACAATGGGTAATCATGATTACAAATGGTTTTTGGAATAATTTTTATAGCCAGAATAAAGTGTGTTTTATGGTAATTTTATTATGCATACCCAAAAGAGTGCGATTTTATGTTTTATTAATTCAGAGAAAACAAACTAGTCACAAATACATTTCTGTTTTAAAATTTGATTTTCGCGCGAATTTGCACATTTCGTAGAAGAAAAAAAGGAGATCTTGGGGTCAGGTGTTTTGGTGTTCTTAGGTTAATTTGAATTTCTAGAAAATGTGTAGGGTATCTAGGTAAACTTTACAAAACTATTTTAAAAATTTTCAATAGTAATTTTATATATCTAAAAATTTTCGTAGTATTAATATTTATTTAATTCAACTATGTATATGCTGTAGCAAAAAAAGAGTAAATATAAACAAAATTGTAATAAAATTAAACACAAAATTTTAAATAGAATTTATGACATGTTCAAGTCATATTGAAGAAGCTATTTTCAATTTCATATCTACTATTGAAGCAACACATTTGAGTTTGAAGAATTCTTACTGAATTCGTATTTTTAATTACAAATCATTAAACAATTTATTGCACTGTTATTTTTTATAGACAACTCAAGTTGTGTTTGACGATAATTTATTTATGAGACACAAAGGTGTAACGATAAAGTATTTTTTCAAAAAGTCGTTCGTAAATCGATTATTTTATCGTACCTACTCAACGCGTTCATTTTGACACTTTTGAAAGGTGTTTCGCGTTACTGAATTGTGAAACATTAAAATTAAGTCACAAGAAAACGAGGGAAATTAAAAACAAACATTACTCGTACATCATCGAAAATTGTTTTCAACACTATGAGAGCTGCAATAATATAGTTTCCAGTAAACAAAAAACAACATAAATATAAATACAAGTATGTTCTATAGATTGCACCAAAACCAGATAACCACGACTTCAAAAATACATTACCCCTTCCTCAACTAAACGGAAAAAGTAAATATTTAAATCCATGAGTGTAAATCTACACTACATTTTCTAGAAATACTAAAACCTGCAAAGCGTTTTCAATCTGTAAATCACTTCTGAAGAACATATCACACTACACGTGTTTGGACATACTAAACTGGGCATAAGCTGGCAACTAAGACTCTGATAGAGATATATCTGAACTATCGATTTTAATGTCTAGCCACCAGCTCCTATGGACAATTTTCTTGGGGTTGCTGCCAAATTTGGAGGCAGACGAGGCGCCACTTCAACAGACAGTCTCTAGTCTATATAGAACGTTTTTATAGGAGGAACAATAATGGGGATAGTAGGACCGTTAAAAGACAGCTATTATACGTACCTATATTACTTATATTATCAACTACCACTTAAAAATGTGATCAGAATCATTGTCAATTAGTCACTCTAAACTTACAGATCATAACAGTGTTGACTGTGCTTTTTTCATTGTTGCACAAACGATGCATGCACATCAGCATTGGATATGACTAAGAAAAAGGCGTTCAATTTGTTTAGTCTTACTTTTACACATGCTTTCGTGTATTTGCACTAGCATTAAAATCGAGTTAATTTCGTTGAAATTTATGACGCAAAGTCAACAAGGAAATGTTTATAGAAAAGAATTTATAGTGATGATAACAGCGAAGTAACCTATAAATATATAAAACACATCATCTACGTAGGTACAATTATTTAAAAATAAATGTTTTTCTGTATTTAAAATAACAGTCGATAGGATTTTCTATACAATATAATAGAAAGATTTATTTTAATGGGAAAAATAATATGCAAAACATTTTCAAACAATAAATTATTGATCTTGCATTTATATCTTCACCTGAATGTACAAAGAAAATATTGAGTTATTCTTTTCAGTACAATTGACTAAGAACATACACATTGCACATAACCATCTCATCACTCTCAAATCAAAATCTTTCATAAAATATACTAATTTGAATTGAGATAGGATTTTCTCGACTTTGTGGATTTTTCATCCTTAGAAATTGGAAAATACCGAGATAGCACCAACTGGCTACTAAAATCTAAATAGTCGAAAGTTAATTTTAGGAAAACTATTTTAAGCTAACATCCTAAAAACATCTTTAGTAGTTTGTTCTTATATGTGTGTAATGATTTCTTAAAAATAGAATGAAATATTAAGATAAATTTCTGATGAAGATATTAAATAGCAACTACTGAAAACATGACTCTTTGATTTTTGTAAAAAACGTCTAATTTTCTTTGTTGCATGATTTTCTTTGAAATCATATATATTAAACAATTCTTCAAACACGCATTTTTTTAATTTTTAATATTTCTACTGAACATGAAGTACCTAGTAAAAAAAAATTATGAAAAACAAACTTACACGAAAGGGATACAATGAATAAAGAAATAAAACGGGAATCTCAGTATCTTACCAAAGAAATAACACAACGATTAAAAATATTCGCTAAAGTTTACAAAGATATTATTCAAAACAAGCTTGTAACCCCGACCATAACATTGATTCAGGGTTATTATAGTAATTATTCTATTGCTGACATTTACTCACTTTAAACCTTATCCTCTATTTAGATATATCAATTTTATAAAACAATTTTAAGAATGAACATTTAATTTTTATAGCAAATGAAATTGAAACAACATGGTTTTGTGTGATTTTCATTCCCATTATGAATGATGTTTACGAAATCAAATTTTGTACCTAAGTACTTGTCTTTCTTAGAGATCTATCTAAATAGCAACAAAAAACAATTATTGTTGTAGTGAAACTAAGCATTTAAAATTTTGTACAGCTTTTGGCAGTGTATCATTATTTTACTTCTATAAATACAAAAAATTAAATTGTTCTGGCAACTTCTCGTAAACGGTAAATGTAATAAAATTTTATAGGTATCTACACATGTTTAATATTTTTAGGTAGGCATTTTTTGCAACAAGGTAAACAATGCACTTTTACGAAATATTACGGTGTTTGTTGTTATTATGCTGATCTGTACAAATATACTATAAAATAAACTTCACTCGCCAAATATTTGTCTTTAGTACATACCTACCTACTTATTATAGTACGGTATATATCAACAGAGATTTCCTTGTGAATCGAAGCCTAAACGTAATTAAATTTAAAAAACTAGTATCTGGTACGTATTTATTAAATTAGTTTGGTTTATTTTACTAGATAGAAGCAAATGTTCTACATCTAGGTATCTATTAAACAAACGCATGTAAAATAGTGTGAAATTTGAGTGCCACTGGTTACACTTTATAACATTATTTGTTTTAATTATCTGTGTAACGTCGTTTCTTGGTCACATCGTTAATTTGACAATGCTTTTAAATTTCTAGAAAAAATAATTTCATAACAGAATGAGTCATTAATGACTTTTAGATAAATCCGAGTAGCAATCCATTGTAAAAGTTAATAAAATATCTCAATTTCTGAAAATGAATAAAAATACTAAATAAATAAAGATATGTCGGTTTCAAAACAGTCATATATTTTGTTTGTTTTTAAAGGTGGACATGGGCTATAAATCATGTCATATGTCAAATATGTACTCCCTTATTTCGTAAACCAATCTTAGGGCATTACATACATCATACATTGCGAAACGAAATAAAGCCATCTTTAAACGTCTCGGTGATATATGACTAGTTATAATTTGCTATTTAATAAATTAACTCAATAATTTATTATCATTTAATCTTTATGAAATTGACTAATTCAGAAGTAAATTGAATTTTTTGGAATAATATCAGAACACAAAACAAAAAATAATTGTATAGTCTATTCACTCTGCTACCACTTATACAAGTCACCCTGTATATCAGTCTTTAGATCGCCTATGCGCATATTAAAATCTTGTCCGAGTTATTTACCATTTGATTATTACTCATTACTCATCTGCATGCAATACAAATTCTATTTCACGTATTTTAAGGTCATCTAACTAAATATACCGATTATACGTATATACAGTGTTTTTAATACTACGAAAAACTTTAATTAGCAATTCCTTGCAAAAAAGTAAGGGCGGTTCTTCTATTCTTATATCCCTACAGACTTATTTCCAAAAATGTCTGTATAGGAAAGGGGTCCATGTCTGGCATAAGAACTTTTCCCGAATTTTCAATGGATTCAATAAAAAGTTGTGAAAAATCGTCTTTTACATATTTTTAGATCAAGGTTTTTAAATTGCTTCTTTAAAACTACATGTTTGTATAAAGCACTAAAATTATATTAAAAAACAACTTCTTGAAAAATTTTATTAAGTACCTAGGTATATGATGTGTGTAATCAGCATTTTTTTGTTCCACTTTCCCACAGATTGAGGCAAATTCAGCCAGCCAGTCAGTCCAAGGCGAACGGGACGAAATATTTGTACTTATAAAACGATTTTTCTCAAAAATTGTAATGTTGACCTTGAGATTTCGTTAGATCTATCATGCATAATGCATCAATCATCTATTATTTTATTATTGCTTATACCAAAAACTAACTCCAGCCACTTGAATCAAATTTGGCTTTTCTAAACGAAATTTGCTCTTTAGAGAACTAAACGCCATAAGAAAAATTAGTGAAATAACTCCTTGTGCCAAAAGAATCAGTCCAGTTGACCTGTCAAGGGTTATTTTTATGAAAATAGTTTTGCCAAACCAAAAAATCTTGCATGAAAAAGCAGACAAATACAAAATGTAGTAAATCACATCACTTTGTATCGCGCACCTCAAAAAGTTGTTGACGTTTCGAAAAACTATCTGTTTTCGTCTTCGGAACTTTTTTCACCGTTCCTTTTAGTTTCGTTACAGTTTAAATTTATTTATTTAAACAAATATTAATAAATTTAAGCTAACCAGGAAGGTAACAAGTACCTAGGGCTTTGTGGCTTTCAAGAATTAATTATCACACCCATAACAAATATATAAAACAACAAATGTCTTCTGGAAATACTAGTTAGAACTCCACTGACTTATTTAACATCTAATTACTTTCAATTTTGCAGAAAATCCAGGAGTAACATGACACTATCGAATAAATTAGATTTTTTGGGTTTTTTTCACCCAATTTGACCTTATAAGAACAATATTTTGTTACTTTAAGCAAAAATTAAATGAATTTCCATACAGTTGTCTTTGTTGCCACAATAAAAATTTGAAACAGATTGTTTAGGTGTAGAAAGTGGAAAATTGACTCGATAGGTACTCATTTGACATAAAATCAAAACCTTGCGCAATCTTAGAAATGTGTTAAAATAAGTTTATATTTTAAAGGAAGACTTATAACTTTAAAAAAATATACAGTACCTGCACCTATCAACATTTATAAACCTGCTAATGCCGATTTTTAACTCCAAAGTTATAATTAAAATTTAGGTAGATATTTTGGCAACTATGAAATATATAGTAATTACATTAACACATTTTACTTTCATTATGCGTTGCATGACTAAATACGATTAAAATAAAATCATTAAATATGAGGACAGGCTAAACTAAGTACAAAAGACAATATTTTCTGGCCTGCACTCAGTTGATGGTTTGTCATAATTAACTGTTAGAACAAATGTAACACAAAATAAAAACATTCTGGTACGTATACCAATTACAAAGTTCGAAAATTACAAAGAAATTTCAACGTACCTGTCCCATAAAATGTGGGAAGTAAGTTAATTATTTATACTTAACACTACAATCCACTCCTATAACATCACAAAAAAACTCGAAATGAAAACGAAAGCACGATACTTTTGCGTAAACTTTAACAATTGTTTTAGGTTTCGTTAAAAGACTAGCAAAAATTATTTTGAGCTAAGCAGAGAACTGAGAAATAAACGTCATAAGCATGTTAAGATCGTATCACATCGACTATCGGTATCGGCGACAAAGAATATCGCAAAACTGAGAATGTTTTCGTATTAAATGTTTATATTTAATATTAAACTAGGTACTTGTTCATGTCTATTAATTACAAATGAGTATATAACATTTTTTATCTATTTCTCATAGATAAAGAACCATAAGACCACTAAAAAAAAATGGTTTTCATAGAACCGACAATTCACGAAGATACAGTTTAAACTTACTTAGGCGACGACCTTGCTGTCTTCCGATTGTGTCATTTTTTCGCTTTGTCGGCAGTCGGTTCTACGTCAAAGAATTGTGAGTTGCGAGTGGAGTGATTCAGAATTCAGAGTAGTTAGAGGCTATCACAGCTACCTGAGCTACCGTCTATTTTGTGATAATTACGTCACAGAAATGCCGTACCTTGGATAAGTTTGATATTGCAAACTGTGATTGTAAATAAAGTATATGTATATTATTTCATATAATAAAATGATTTATTAGGTGCATATTTAATCAGTTAATTATCTATATTTTTTATTATTTTATTAAGTAAAAACAATGTAAAATTTTTGAATTTCGACGCAAGATATTCTCTTAGGCAACACAAATTACATTTCTGTAAAATTTTTGTAACCAAGTTTCAAATTTCAAATAACACATAATGAGGTTTGAAATTGACCAAATTAATTCGGGCGTTTTTATTAAGGGATCATAAATTAAAAGAGTAGATTATTTGTAACACCTATATATTTCATGTAACATAACAAATACAGTGTGTTCCATATATTTTGGGGAAGTTATCTAAAATACATACAACAGACCAATATTGTCAAATATTACATTTTAAGAATTACTCGTCTTGAAACTGCAACTGCTAGTTAAATGACCAGTCTTATTTTAATAAATTTACTAATGTTCTCATTTCTAAATGGTGTGCTGTATGTACACGAAGCTAAATATTAGTAACTAATTTTTTTTCCACAACTGCAGCTTCATCACGGGTGATTCTAAAATAAAATTTATATGAACATCCCATTTTTAGATATACCATTATACATTTAAATATTTACAGACCTTAAGATTATTTAAAGCATTATTTTTTATTCATTTATATTTAAAAACATACTACAAAACATCTACAACTAGTATCCATAACATAATTAAATATATAATAAATCAGAACCACAACCTATTTCTTTATTGTTCTAAATTTAAAGTACTGTAAATTTGTCGTTGAGCTAATTTTTATTTTATTTCGTAATAAAAAAGTGCACTATACACAACCATAATATTTTTTTCATACATTTTCAAGTAGAGCAAATCATCGTAATTAAATGAAGTTCGTAACGCATACATTCACTTTATGCCAACAGATAACGTTTATACAAAGTGTTTGAAACGATCCAATTGAAATTAGAATTTATATATTTTAGGACACTTACCGATCTCAAAGGGACATTTAGAATCATTAATATAATTTTACACTTTTCATTAACAACATTTATTTCGTCTGCTTTGTTCAAATTCAAAAAAATATTTTTTTATAATTCTAGAAACTTGTAAGTAAAGTATAGAGTAAATATAATTTATTTTTAAGCATGTTTTTGAAAGACTATTTATTTGGTACTATTTGTCAAACACTCTGTATATATATAAGCGTATTGTGCAAATTATTGTTTTGAATATTTTAAATCTACATAGCAGCTACTCTTTATTTTTTAGTGGTCTACCGCAACCAGTTGAAAATATCATAAAAAAATTACAAACTATTGCACACGTATGTTAGTATACTGTGAACCATTCACTCCTCCAATTCTAAGCATCTAACTTTCAGTCATAAACATTTTTTACATTTATATTATAAATATAACATTAAAATACAGGGCATTCTCTTATGATTAAAGATAACAAAAATTGAATGAATTACCCTGTATATATACATTCTCCTATTTTCTATCCAGTACCATACCTTTTTTACGTAACAGGAATGCAACGAAACTATATACTGCTGCAGTTTTCACTGCGAAATATCAATTATTGGATTATAATAATCTGAAGCAACACATATTTATGTATAAACGTATAGTTCCGGACATTTTGAGCAATAAATATTTTAATAGATCTTTAACTTCTTCTGGAATAACAAATTCTGTAAAATATCAAGTGAAAAATGCCGTAGGTATATATTTTCTAAAACTTTATTTATAAAATATACTTAATATCAATAACCAATAGAATTTATACGATGATTAAGAATATAAATCCTAAATAACTTTCTCGTCTAAAAATGTATCCCAACTCTTAAAATTTTTCTTCAAGTTGAAAACTATGTACTAGAAAGTAGACTTATTTACTCATTAGATATGTCTAAATAAAAAAGTCTAGCAGATTTAAATAAATATATAAATAAAATAGTTATTTTTGTATCTAGAACGCGAACTGGTACTTAGCAAGGCAAAATATCCATTTGAAAAAGCAAAAGCGTTTCGTGCTCGAGATGCAAACAATATTCTTTCGAAAACTGCATTAAAATAAGAACTGTATTATATACAACAATTTAATTTATATTTGAAATCATTTGAACCGTATTTAAATCAAACCTAAAAAGCAAAAAAAATTTGTTGTTTGAAAAAGTAGTATCAGAATTACTTATATATTGTAATTCATGTTCTAAGAGTATTTAATTCAAAATGAGCTCGGAAAGTGAAGACGGGCACTTACCAGGGGAAGTATTGGAAGCGGCACAGTGCTGTTCCACAATTAATCCCCAAAAAAATAGTTGAGACAGTACGAGAGTGTTAATACAACGAATTCAAAGGGTGGAGTAGTTCGAAAAAATTTCAAAAAGTGTCGGAAGTGGTATTACTGGCATATTTCGAACATAAAATTAATAAAATTGTGTTTGTGAAGCTTTGACAAGAGATGAGCTACTACGGATAACGATCGATGATATAGATGACAAAGATTCAATTATTATTATAAGAATTCCCGATTCCTAAACTCTTCCTTTGAAATGTTTGTGATTTCAAATCCAGACCAAATGAAGATATACCGCAAACACTGTGCTTTACGTCCGGCAGTTTCTACAAGTTGAAGATTTATTGTATGTCAGGAAAAATGTGTTAGCCATTAATAAAATAAAGAATGTGCCAAAAGAAATAGCAAATTATCTCAATTGACCTCATTGGGAAACTTATACAGGGCACTGCTTTAGCCGTACTTCCGTCACTCTATTAAATGATGCAGGGGCCGATATTACCACATTAAACGATATAGGGGGTGGCGTTCTAGTACTGTAGCGGAGACACATAGAAGATTCTATACAAAATAAAATTTCAATTGCAAATAAATTGTTTCCATCTTCAGCAGAGCCTACAGACTCATTTTGTCAACTGAATATTTAACGAAAATGTCGGCTTTTGATGACAGTTTTCGAAAAAAGTAATTTTGTGTTTACCATAAATATATAAAGAATTACAATAAAAAATTTTGTTAATATAGAAAAAACAATGTTGAAATTTTTTGATATAATGTGGATTTGAATTTTCAACTTCATAGAAAAATATATTTTCTTAACTTCTCGTTCCATAAAAATATAAAAATTATGGACAGAAAGATACTAATAAATGGCCTGCCATGTTTTTCCTCCCCAAAATGTATTAATCCTCTTTTGGAATAAATTGTCTTTTCGTCGATTTTTGAGATGCGGCAAATTTATTTGCCTCTGATTTATTTGTACAATATCTCAAGTAATCCTTACCTAAAACACACTTATTACCCTTTTCTGTACATGGTGGTTTATTTGGCACAAAGTCTTTAAATATAATTATCATATATTAATGTTATTTGAAGTTTTATCAATCCTAATGCATAAAAAAATCTAGCCGTACAGTAAATGTTGAGCCCACTAATATACACATTGGATATGCCGGTAAAGATGATAGTCCTCTGAAACATAACACTGGCAGTAGTAAAGAATTTTGAGGAAAATCTGTCTTTTAATTGTTTTATTGAAATTCAAGTGTTATGCTTAAGACAACCCACCCAGTACTAATTTCAAAAATTTCGCTCCTAAATACCATTCAAATCACAACTTAACAGTTTATCTCGGCTTCGTTTAAGTATTTTTTGCTATTTCCGACATGGTTGGAAAACGGGTCATTCTGAAGTACACCGTTGCTAGTGATAGAATCTCCAGTGTTTATGTTAGCGTATTTCTTGTTCTGTGAAGGTGTCATGACCTGTTTTGCCAGAGCTCCCGCGTCTAGGGATACCCCCGATTTCAAGCTGTAGTCACCCTTCATGTTGTTGTTGTGATTGCTGTGGCTGAGGACATTGTTGGGCAGAGAAATTGGCGATATTTTCGGATTTGGTGTGTTGTCGATCGCCAGCAGTTTGTCGACCTAGCAAAACTGTCATGTAATATCGAAAAATGAGTGTAAAACCAATCATTGAATTGGAGAAGGTGCATTTGAAAGATTCGTTAGTAAAATTTAATTTGTTTTCTCAAATATCGAACTACATTCAATTCAAATGTAACCATGAAATTTTAAGGTTATGATTTATTAATAGCTGTATTTGTTTTACCACTTGTCTAGTTCAGTTTGGTCAAATTGACCAAACTAGAAGTGACCGTGATTTGAACTAACTTTAGGTTAAACAACACACACACATCTACTCCATTTTAAATTTTAACTTTTGATGTCTGTTTAATTTCAGTTTAATTAGGTATTAGGTTGTTGTTTTCAATTATACTGTGCCCAACATACTTACAATCAACATTTTAGTCATATTTTGGTTTGTTCACTTGTTTAAAAAAAACGAACTTGGTCAGAACTCTACTGATAACAGAAAGTGAATTAACCAAAGTGACCAAGTGTGTAAAACAAATACAGCTATTACTTATTTTATTATTAATTATTAGAAGTCAAGGGTGTTGAAATTTATGGAATCTTCATCTGTGTTGTTCTGTTGTTGTTGTTGTTTAGTTTTCTTGTTTTCATAAATTTATCAATGTACAATATTGCAAGTTGGAAGAGTTGAAGAGTATAAGAGAGGAAAAGAATCAGTACAATTAGTTTTTGCATATTTTTTTAAACTAATTTGTGTTCTGCTCTATTTAGTTTTTGTATACTGCTCAGAATTTCAAAAACACCTTTATCCAGAGATGAAATGTGTCCTTACTTCAAGACAAAAAGAGTGCACTTTGATAACTTACAAATCAACCAAAAGCAACTAAAAAAAAAAAAAATAAAATAAGACATCCAAAAGTGAAACTTAAGCACAGTGTTCTGTTAGCTAGATTATTATTAATAATGACTTGGATTCATCATTGCTTGCAGAGGTGATAAAAAAAATTGTGCGTGTAAATTTATTCACGTAAATAAACTTACAGACGTGGCACCCTCATCTTCTTTACCGTTATCCATTAGTAAGGGTTGGGTGGACCTTGAGTGAGGCATTATGAAGGAGGTTTCCCAATTATCTGAATTGTCTGGTAGTAATTTTTCAACCGAGGAAGTCGATTCAATTTGATCGGGGGTGGTGGGGGTTGTGTGGTTTGGAATTAGATAATCTGAGGATGTAGGTACCACCTTGAAAAACAACATAGCAATAACAAGACGATGCGAACGCAGGGAACAACCTTTTCACAAGAAAACAAAAACTGAATGTGGCAAAATATTTTTAATTGGCATTGTTTTCACCGATAGGGCAGGCAAAAAACAAACTGCCAGGCGAGCTGTCAACTATAATTTGGCAAATCGAGAATTATAAAGAGAACTAATGAGAAATTTGTATAGAATTTTTATAGTGGAATGTGTTTTGTTAAGTTTAATTTTGTAGTAAAATTTAAAGTAGTATTGAGTGAAGCATAGAGTGTGTTTGTGCGTCTTCATCGTTAAATTTCTGTGTGGTATAAAAAAACACATACGATTCAAGAACGATCAGATTTTACAAACATTTTGCCACATTGATGTTATATTAGTCAGACATATCTGTTCCATTAGTTAAAGGCAAAGACGGCGGTTATTGAGTATATTAAATAAGATATGTAAGGTATTCAAGTATCACACCTTGTTTACCTTCCGGAAAACTTACCTGGAGACAGTTCTCCTCTGAACTTGTAGGCCGCATCACGGTAGTATCCCTCTCGTTTGACGGTGGACGTTGAAATACAGGCAATGGGGCATTCATCACTTGCGGATCTTGAACACAGTAGCCTAGTCTCTCTAGAATCGTGGCAAATGTCGGTCTCTGCTCAGGGGCTGGGTGCCAGCATTGGGTCATAATGCCGTAAATGGGACCTTTACAATAGTATTACGTTAATGATTTAAAATATTGTTAATGCGCCTTTTCAGTGATGTCACACACTCAAATGGTCAACACAGGTTTGAAAATTATTTTCTACACAAGGGTACCCGACCACACGCCAATTGGTGGATTTTTCCTCCAGTTCTAGATATTTTTTTAGTTGAAAACATCAAAATTGTTAATAACTTTTTTTATGTTGCACAATTCATGATCGATACACTAATATGATTCATTTATACAGTAAATACATTGAGTAGTATTATAAAATATTAGTATACAATAAGAAAATTCCATAAAAATGAAATGGAGCGTTAAATTTGTTATTTTTTTTAAGCTTAATTAGAAAATATTAATTTAAATATAGGATAAACATTTGAAAATATATTTAATTTGGTAAGGTTAAAAAAAATGGGGATAAATGAGACATATTTTTACCTGGGCAATTGGCAGGTGGGTCCAGTCTTCCTCCGCTGGTAACGAGTTGCATCACTTCCCTATTTGCACATCCTGTATAAGGCATGTAACCCATCGACATGATTTCCCAAAGTAAAACCCCGAAAGACCACACGTCCGTCTTGCTCGTGAATAAACCGTCCAAAAACGCTTCTGGTGGCATCCACTTAATTGGCAGCATAGCTTTTCCGCCCTTCCTGTAGTAATCGGATCTACAAAAGTATATGAATTTAGCGAGGATAAAATTTAATTCAGTAAAAGGTACTTACCTATACACATCTCTAGACATGCCAAAATCGGCAATTTTTACGCATCTTCCAGGACCTTTGGTGGTCAGTAAACAATTCCTGGCCGCTATATCCCTGTGGATAAACCTGTTGTCTTCTAAGTATTTGCATCCTTTCGCAACGTCTACTGCTATCAACACCAGATCTTTCATCGTCAAGGGACTAGCTCGTTCCTGAAAAATATTGCGTAAAAAAAGGAAAAACTCCCATATTCACGTCTTACTGGCTTAGGCCTAGACTCTCTCAGAAAATTTTTCAGGTCTCCTCCTGCTAAAAGCTCCAGTACTATGAATCTTGGGTGTTTGTCGAAACAAACGCCTATGAAATGGACAATATTTGGATGGTTGAATTTAGACATTATGAGCGCCTCCATAAGAAAGTCCATCTCCGCTTGCGAGGTGGACATTTCTGGTAGCGTTTTAACCGCTACCGGCATTTCAACAGTATCGCAAGGCCTTTGTCTGTAAAAGCCTTGGTATACTTCTCCAAAAGCGCCCTGGCCTAGAGCTCTGAATAAAAAAATGTTGTTACTACGATGTAAAACGTTAATGTACTAGCACCTACTTTACGAGACGCAATTGTTCCCTAGGAATGTCCTTCAGATCCTTCAGAGTATACACCACACCGCCGAACTCGTAATTTGGATTATACTCCATGATACTATCCGAGGTAATCCTCAGCCTATCTAGTTGAAGATCGGCGTTAGGAATCATTTTCCGACCCAAACGCCCGAAGGCTTTCTGCTGGTATCTGTTATCTATTTAAAAAATATATGCATGTTAAATGAAATTAATATAATCGTAATTATTCTTACATAACAAGAAACACACTACCCCAAACAGCACAGTCAGGAAAAACACCGTTACTATAAGACCCACAACGAACCACGTTGGATAAGTACCAACTGGCGTAACGTCTCCGACAGCTGAAAATGTGAGAAATAGGCTTAATCTATAAAAAGAAAATCACAACCGACTTACGAACACATTTCTTCTTATCATCCCCCAACTTCCACCTCTGAGGGCATATACAAGTGACTTGAGACCGTCTGGCATCTAAAGCTAAACACCTATAGTCGCATTCGCACCCATCGATAGAGGGAATAATCAAAACGTATCCAGGCCCGGCATTGACGCCCGGCTCCACGTTGGATAGCTCGAGAAGAGCTTTGGAAGGGTTCAGGTAAGAATAACCACCTTCGCCGTTGGTCGAGTTGACAAAAGGAGCGTTTCCTCCAGCAAACCCGCCACCACCTCCGCCGTATCTGCAGCCTCCCCCGCCACCACCGAATCCACCGTCTCCTCTGTTATCGGTCGACTCGTAACACGCTTTTCCTCCGGCGCCACCCGCTTGTAAGGAGCTGCCCATAATGGCCAGTTCTAGTAATCCTGGGAACACGCTCCATCCGCCACCGGCGCCAGCAGACCTAAAATAGAAAAAAAAAAACGAAACGTTATAATACAATTGAGCTGTCGTAACTCTAATACTTACTTGGCGCCATACATTTTACCAGGTAGGGGGGGTCTCGAGATGTTAACACCTTGCCCGTGTTGTCTGACACTATCCACACTGAATCTGCCTAAGCCCAAGCCACCTCCGCCACCAGCCACGGCAAGAGGAATTTTCTCTTTTGTCCGATTTCGCTAAAACCAAAGAATTAGAACGATTAAACGTTTGGGAAATAGTTCTCACCATAAAAACATATGTTCCGCCACCTCCTCCGCCGCCACCGTCATTGATGTCCATTGTGAGGACCCATCTTATGCCGGTGCCCCAATTCTGTCCCGAGTGACATGATGAATTCGCTTGATATCCAAGACTCTAAAAAAATTAATCAAATGAATTGACCGGGAGACGCTAAGAAGCCACTTTATTACCTTTACGCAGGAACTAGTGCCTTCCTGACCAACCAACATGAAAATTTCCTGGCCTTTTTTCAACTCCACAATGGTTCTTACTTGGGCGCCTCTGGAGGAACCCATTTGCGACCCGCCTTTTCCTCCACTTGCTCCAGATAAAATAATCCTTCAAACAACAGAGTAAATTAGGTAAATTTGAAGTGCGACAAATGCGATAAGTGTGCTTACGTGTAGAATCCGTCCTGAGGAACTACCCATTTTTGCACCCCGCTCAAACCTGGTTCATTCAGTACTTTAATATTCATCTTGGAACCGTTATAGGCTTTCGCGCAGTCGTATTGCTTAGGTCCAAATCTACCCTTAATGTTACAGGTGGTTATTTCATAATCTAAAAAGTGGTTACGACAAAAAATAATTTCTTTACTTGTTTAATGAGAACTCACATGTTTTATTTTTAAAGTCTGGATGAGTCTCTCTTTTGTCCAGATAACCCACGAGGGGATTCCAGTAATTGTAACCGTTGAGTTCCTCGGGTGGTATATTTAACCCGAAACATTCAGGACTTAAGGAAACGTCATCTATGGCAATGTCACTCATATATCTCATACCTTTCCTTGCCTCGAAATGGACAAAGTACCTAAAATCAATAAATTATGCCTTGACAACTATGACAAATAGATAATTATCTTTTTTTTATATTATGTTATATCGTTGACGACATACCTGTGTGTGATATTCGGCAGAATAATGTCTTGACGAACCCACTGGTCACCATGATCATGGAAGCTCCACAAAATTTCCTTAGAAATATTTTCTGCAGGAGTCAATTCGGTGACCTGCAGCAGTATTCCACTTTTATGTTTTCCGGTTTTGTGAAGATAGAACCGAATCTAGAAAGAATATCGAAAGAGTTATTATGTTCGAGAATTGTATTAATCATGGTTGACTTACGGCGCAGGAATTGTAAAACCTGGATGATGTGTTTCCATGAACCCTTGGTGGAGGATTAAAATCGACACTACGCAGCACCGCCGTTGAAGCAAAGTCTGCGTTTTTCTTCAGCATGCTGACATAGAGGTAATTTCCTGTCGTGTTCATGTAGGTGTGGTCATAATTGGGACCGGTAAAATTCGTCGGTGTGGAACCGTTATGTCGGGTCCACTCGAGAGTCTTGATGTCGATGTTCTGCCAACCACACCAGTCGTCTTCAAAAGTGCAGCGGGAACCATACGGCATAAGATCTTGAATCAAAGTTTTCTATAGAATAGCTACGGGTTAATTTTAATTTTGTACATACCACAATTCTGCTGTTCATCGTCACCAAACTGACAATCTGGTTTTATGTCACATATTCTGGTGCTGTTAATGCAAGTCTTGGTAGATTTGCATTTGTACTGAAGGGGAGTGCAAGAGTCATCACTTCTTTGGTAGCAGTGAATCAACTGAATGTTGTCAAAAGCCACTGTAGCTCCGTTCACGATTTTTTCTGACGGCACAACTTCCAATATTATAGTGAAATTCCTAGATATCTTGCCTACGGACATATCGTACTTTTTCCACCTATTCAAGAAAAAATTATTATAAACAACTTCAAATGCCACAAAAATATTAATCGAAACATAAAAAAGACAACGTAGCATGCAAATAAAATCAATTTTTATTAAAAATTATATATACTACAAATACAAAATCTTACTTTTTACTATTATCTCCAGGTATTCCCTTGACTAACCATTGGGTGTGGTTGTTTATAGATTGAGAATGATCGCTAGTTTTATCACCTACAATGCGAATTTCACCTCCTTCCATTTGTTCCTGGTAGATCCATATAGCCAGTTTACAAGATGAGATTGTAGGTTTAAACAAAGGGCTAGTAACATGGAATTCTGTTGCTTTCATAGGAAGACGCAGTAAAAGAAAATTGCCTAAAATAAAATCACATTGAAAAAGTTAGTTGCTACGATTACTATTCAGAATATAGATATTTGGAAAAAGTAAAATACTTTTTTAATTCTTTTAAATTTATTTAACTTAAAAGTTCTTTTAATTTAACTTTAAAAAATACGAAATAGTAATGTTTATGCAACCAGAAATACACATATTCGTAAAGTTAGTCGCCTACAATATGTAACATATTGAGATGAAACAACAAAAATAGAGATAGAAATATTAGATACTGTTTGAAATTTTGTGACCTTTAGTGACCTGTATTATCGATCAACGGGATCAACCACAAACATGCGAACTGAACACCAAAGTAGAGAGCTGAAGCGAACGGATTCAGTGGTTGTTAGAAGCTAGAAGTTGAAATATTTGTAACCTCATTTTCCCTCAATACAAAAATAATTTGCGAATAGGTACATTTTGTAAGATTTAGATAGTGACTAGGAGGCAGCCGATAATATTTTTAATATGTCCATAAAAGAGCCCATTAAATTAAAGTAAGTAATTTATATGATTTTTAGTGATAAAATTTCAATAAAAATATTTAGAGATCTGGTCGAGGAAGGAGCCGTTTTCGACGTTAATTTGGATGATCTAAAAGAACACGATTCAGACACCGAAGATGCTGAATACCAGCAAAATATCAGCAAGTTCGCAAACTTACAGTTACTGGGAGAAGATCTTCAAGACGAAGACACTTATTTCGAGGGGCAGCCATTTGAAATTATATCCGCAAAAATGGACAACCTTCTCCAAGACGGAAGCATAAAGAAAAGGATAATACGCGAAGGCTACGGTGAAAAACCGCCAGACCTAGCAATCGTTAGGGTTCATTATAACGCTTACGTAGAGTACAACCCCGAGCCTTTCGACAGCACTTATGCGAGGAATAGACCTCACCAATTTTCTATTAATAACGGGGAGGTTATTATTGGATTAGACATAGCAGTGCAATCCATGAAGTTAAATGAAAAGTCGCAGTATATAATCCAACCGGAATTTGCTTATGGCAGGCTTGGCTGCCTCAATAGAGTACCTGCGAATGCGGAAGTACTCTTTGAAGTGGAACTTGTAGAGGTAGTGAACGTTGGAGCAGCAACTGCTTTCCAGCATTTGCCCGAAGAAGCCCAAAAAAAGTTTACTAACGTTTACGACTATTGTTTAGCTTTGTGCGCAAAGGGAAAAGATTTATTCAGCAAAAATATAAAGGCTGCGATTAGAGAGTACAATACTGCCGTGGGAAAACTAGAAATGGCACAGTTAGAAGTTTATGAAGACCAGTTGAAGCAGCAGGAGCTACTGCTGCGGCTGTACACAAACTTATTGGTATGCTACACGAAAATAGAGGAACCGAAAAGAGGATGCATCAACTTTAATAAGATAAAGGAATTGGTGCAAGGAACGAACATAAAAATATCTGCCAAATGTTACTTCAACAATGCGAAATGTTTGAGGATGTTGGGAGATTTGGATTTAGCAAAGAGAAGATTAGAAGTGGCGTATAAGTTGGAACCAAAAAATCCCGATATTCTCAACGAGATGATAGTGTTGGAAAACGAAAAAAATAACGAGAAAAAACGTGAAATTGAAATGAGCAAAGCTCTGGTAAAGAACTAACATTAAGGAATGTATTCATGTATCTTTACTTTTCCACAATTGGAAGAAAGTTGTGTTTAAATTCTTTTTGATTGTTTATTTTGTTAAAATTGAGGGTATGTATGCTTTGGAATATCCTTAAATTAAAGTAAAATTTCAGTTATATATTTTAATACAAATTCAAACATCCTAATTTTTATTCTATTATTCGAGGATAATTATATTATTTACAGAGAACAGTTGAAAAAAAATAAAAACGTTCAACTTTTTCATTATGTTTTGCATATTTTTTTCGGTCTAAAATTCCATTAGTTTCTAAAGAAATAATTCACACACTTTTAACAATCAAATAAATATGTTGGAGTGTGAAAAAATGACAAAAAAATGAGTAGTAGATCTGATAAAGAATTAATTTTAAGAATGTATTCATTTATTTTATATTATTTGTATAATCAAAAGGCTGTATTTCAAATGTTTTCCATTATCTTGATAATAAACATTGTTTTTCTTGAAAGAGGTTTTTTTAGTTTATATTTCATTCATATACAGGGAGGGCCATTAGTGTAAGAAAGTAAAATAACTCCATCAATCAAGAAGAAACCTAAACTACAAAATTAATTTGATACATGATGATGAGTAAAAACGGTATACCTACGCCAAATATTACATTTTTTAAATGGAACACCTTGTATATTTTTAAACATGGATTTCCAAGAAAATTCTATATATGACAATATCAACAGTTCATAATTTTAGTGCGGGGTTGCCAAGTTATGTAGAAATTCTTTTGAATTTTGGAAAAAAACGACCTCGAAGGAATTGTATTAACTTTCAACAACACTTGCAGCAAAAATATTTGACAGAGTTATAGGCAATTGTTAGGCAAAGACTCCTATATTAGCTAATATCGATATTTTATACAGGGCATTTTTTATAATATGATCATTTTTAGAAGGTTTAAACTGGATTTTCTAAAGTTGTTCAGATGGAACACCCTGTATTTTACTGTATTTTATTATTTTGTTATTAGTTTAAGTAATGTAATGAGTATCGTAAAAATGCACAAATAAATCAATTTTGTTGTTTGGAATACAAAAAAGTGTAAAAAACAAAAAGTGAAGATAATACAATGGCGCATATGATGACCTATTTTATTTGTAATATTGTACAGGATGATACATTTTGTTTTTGGCAAATAATGATCGAGGATACCCACACCTCCGCCACTGGTAAGTTTCTAAAGCTGGTAATTTTTTGTTTCATACCTACTGTCATACTAAACATGTACACAAAATTTGGTTAAATTATCTCAAGCGGTTTAGAAATTAAAAATTAAAAACTGATTTTTTTTTTAATTTTTGACACGCTGTAGCTGGACTATGACTGTCCTAAGACCCCACATTTATATAATAAAAAACCCTTAATTTAGTCTACTTAAGGAACTGAATGTGTAACACACCAATTTTGAAGACCTATGTATTTTGTAGGGGAAGCAAAACGTTTTTAATTTTGTACGTTTACCCACAGATTTTAGAATTTTATATATTTTGGAGTTATTTATATTTTTTTTATAAATTTTTCTGGGTTAATCCTTAAAATTAGAATGAGAGGTATAGATATTATTACACCGATTTTTTAATTTTTTTTTACCCTTCAAATCTGAGAGAATATTCTCTCAAATATCCTGACATTGAAGTTTTCAAGGGCGTCACCAAAGAGGGGCAGGGGGGCTGCCCCCCACTAGAAATTCAAAAAGTTCAAAAATTTTCTTAAGCTAAGAAAATATTAGATTGGAAATTTTTAATAAAATATTTTATTTACTTTAAACTAATTTTGAAAATTAATAGGTACTTATTTTTTTGAAAAACAATTGTAATAAATTAGTATAAATATTTGTTGACAAAAGAATTTAAAAATATAAAATTTTATGGTACAAAGTAGGTAATAATACATTTCCACATTATAAAGCTCGGGAATTTTATATTAAAAAAAATAAATTTTTATTTACCGGAATCAGAATAAAAGTTTAACAATGCAGTTAAAGCTATATATGTAACGCACCAATTTTATTTATGGGGAATGAAAGTCGTCTCAATGGCGCTTATTTTTGACAACCATCAAGATTTTATTAATAAAGCGGTCGACAAATTTTCAAAAAATTATGTTTTACCTAATTTTTGTTGAATTTCTTTATTTTTTTAGTTATTTATATTTTTTTTGCTTTTCTTGTATTAAAAGGGTTTTATTAAAAATATTTCTAAAAAAAAATTAATTCAATACCTATTTCAACCTATAATTTATATTTCTCCCATCATCTCTCATATCTTGCCCCCCCCCCCTAGCCTATCGGCTGGCAATGCCCTTGGTAGAGATGCTTTTAATAAAAAGTGAAGATGTTACCACTATGTATAATTTTGTTCCGCTAAATTGTTTTCAGTTTAATTTAAATAATGTCCAATGATTTGTATCATCTTTAAATCAAAATGTAACCAAAATTCCTCAAAAAAATTCTTGAAAATTAGAGCTAGTCCTATTCTTACAATTTCTTCATGAACTGAATGAATAAATTGACAGAAATTTTGTGTATTCATTTCTAAAAGAAATTTGTAGCGCTCTTTGTTAACTTTTACAGTTATATTTGAAAAATTCATGAATATAATTCGAGATAATTATGCACACCCAATAAACACAGGTAGTAAGAGACTTTTTGAGGGAGATTTCCATCAATATATAAACATTTATAATTAAATTAAAGAAAAATTCAATAATAAAAAATAACTGAAATCCTCGCCTGCTTTTCTGTGTTATATAAATCTACCGGGTGTTTCAGAGTTGAAGTGATAAAAGTCTAGAGCAAAATATGTAAAAAAGTTCATATGAACATGGGTCTGCAAAGTACATACTTCGTTTCCGAGATATAGAGCGTTATTTTTAAAGAATTGAGTTTAAAAAAAACGCTTTAGCCGATTTGAATGAATTTTTTTGGGTTTATTAAAACAATTATCATATATAAACTGGACCAATTAGATTTTATCCAGAATTTTCAAGGGCATACCCAGCGAGCAAGTCAATTTTTTTTTTTTTTTTGTTGAAAAGAATACACCCTGTAGTTTTTTGCGGTTTTTATGTAATATTCAGATAAACCCACTAAAAATAGTGCATTTGTGTCTCTTGACTCTTTTTAGTGTCTCACTTCGTCTTTATTTTATTTATTCTTTTCTACAAAAAAAAGACTTGCTCCTGAAAATTCTGGACCACATCTAATAGGTCCAGTTGATGTATGATGTTTTAATAAACCGGAACAATTTCATTGAAATCGGCTAAAGCGATTTTTTTTTAAACTCAATTTAAATAACGGGTAGGCATGTACAGCTAAGAAAGGTACGTACTTCATATAACTTGTCTCATTATATAAGCTGTTGCAATAAATAAGACATCGTCATTGTCAATGATTTTAAAATGGAAAATAAGCAGATGCCAATCGAATTCGAAATGAGCGACCACACGTGTACACTGGCTTCGCGTGTAATTCATATCAAAGGTTTCTTGTTTCTTGAATTATTTTCTATTTTAGTTGTTGTTGGAGAAGGCGGCGAATGACGCACGAGATGATCAAAAGCGGGAGGAAACTGAGATGGGAGGATGTCGTGAGACAAAAGGAAACAATCGCAGTTAGGAACTTTTATGTAGCGAAAATATACCTCTACATTTTTGAGCGTTTCTTAAAGGATACATTAATGGGGTTAGAACCGCGATATGGGCCAGAAATTTGTTTATATAGAAACTAGTGATGTAACGAATATCCGCATTCGCATTCGCGAATATTCGTTTGATTTATGATATTCGCATTCGCATTCGCAAATATCTTTGAATATTTTGCGAATATGAACGTGAAAGAAAAATACAGAATGTGAAAACAATCGTTCAGCATCGCAAATCGTAAAATAAGTCCATATTTCACTAGAAGTTGATTTATACTCATGTTAAGAAATAACTAACAACAGTCTAACCTCACAATTCACAAACTCATCTGAGCCGGTAGCGAAAACAAAACAAAATTCCAATCATACAAAAATACCGTTCTACCAACTTAACAACGCTAATTTCTTTAGCCTCTAGCGCCGTTGTCACCGAAAATATTATGTGCGTCGCGCGCGGCATATTTTGAATCATAGATAAACGGCGCTAGATTTAAAAACTGAATATTCGTATTCGCATTCGCATTCGCGAATGTCGACAACAGATGTTCGCATTCGCATTGGCATTCGCGAATGCTTAAAAACTGGCATTCGTTACATCACTAATAGAAACTAACTTTAAGTACAACCAAGTAGATTTAAAACACATGAAATATCCAACCAAGCAATATTATATTTCAAGAGTAGCTTTCCTGATGGAAATAAACTGATTTTAAATCAAGATATGTTAGTTAGTTCAATTCTGATTGTTTAAAGTGTTATGGAATTAAAAAAAAAAATTAATTTCACTTCTTTCCGAGGTAATTTCCTTTTATCTAAGATATAACGGTCACTCGAAGAATGCCTGAAACTAAAGTCTATTCATATTGCCAACCTTAAAATATAAATTTACATTTTCGAATATTTTATTATGTACCTATATCGATAGCCCAATATTTTTCTGGGAAATATAACAAACACTCAAATTTGACGAACAAAAACATCGCATACTTGATCAATCTAAAAACTTTAAGGATAATACAATTTTAATGGTATCTGGTTAAGACTCAAGTCATTAGAGACAAGGGACGTCTAATTATTGACATTGCCCACAGTTTTGAGGAAGTTAGGCCGTCAGCAGCCAGAGGGCAGTACCGTCAAACGCCGTCAGATCTAAGAAAGCGAGCCTCAAAAAGAGATAATGTAGTACTTCAATCACTGTCTGTGTTAGTTGGGTTAGGCCTGTGGCATATTATTTTTACCATATTTATTTCTCTTGTTAGTAATAGACCCATCAAACCTTATAAATTTAACTTCGGGCTCCGGAATATTCAATAGTACCTACTTTTGAAAACAAAAATAATTTTTTTTATAAAATTGTCCAATTAACTAAGCCTTTAAATCGAAATTTTGTCAACTTGGCTGAATTTTTGATATGAGTTAGTATAAGGTATATTATAACAATAAGTGAGAGTAATTTTTTGTTCAACCCCCGGCCAAGGGTGGAAAAAGATAAAACAAAGGGCTTTTTCAAGATAACTCAAAAAGGGTAAGAGCTAGAAAAAAAAGTTTTTCATGAAAGTTGTAAAGCAGACAATTCTACATAAAAATGGTCTCTTAGCTTTTTCTTGTACTATTAAAATTAACAGAGTTAGGGAGGCTAGAAGTTAAGGGAAGATTTCAGAAATTTAATTTTGTTAAATCATTAAAATTAACGATTAAAAATTTGATTTTTTGTTATAACTTTCTTATTAAAAATTAAAAAATATATCTATTTCTCTGAAAAGAAAAGTTACATATTTTAGAGCAGATTGAAAAAAAAAATTACAAAATTCAATCATTTTTCTGTTTGTTATGATTTTTTTTAAATTTCTGAAATCTTCCCTTAACTTCTAGCCTCCCTAACTCTGTTAATTGTAATAGTACAAGAAAAAGTTAAGAGGCCATTTTTATGTAGAATTGTCTGCTTTACAACTTTCATGAAAAACTTTTTTTTCTAGCTCTTACCCTTTTTGAGTTATCTTGAAAAAGCCCTTTGTTTTATCTTTTTCCACCCTTGGCCGGGGGTTGAACAAAAAATTACTCTCACTTATTGTTATAATATACCTTAAACTAACTCATATCAAAAATTCAGCCAAGTTGGCAAAATTTCGATTTAAAGGCTTAGTTAATTGGACTAAAAAGTTATATTTCGAGGTACAAGCTGACAAGTTTAAAAGCAACGACTATTTTTGTATATTAATCAAAGCGTGAATTGACATTTTGACCACATATCGAATATGATCATCCTATGCACCATAGAATTCTAATAATTCGAATGATTTCATACAATTTAAATATTTTATCTACTTCCTCTTATTTTTATGCATATATATTTGCAGCTCCATTGACATTTTCACCGCACATCGTGATAACTCGATGCAGATTCAAATTCTGAGAATTCAAATGGTTCTATATGTATTTCAAAACAGTTTATCTATTTCCTCTTTTTTTCTACGCGCATATATTTGTAGCCGCATTTCGTTGATGCAGACATCAACAAGCTGAATTGCCCATTCAACAATACTAAATTGATAAAACTGGCATTAGCTTAACTTTCGTAATAAGATAATACAGCTCGTAACCTTGAGATATATATGGAGCTGTTTCATTTAAAGATATGGCGGATGCGCTGGTGTGCTTGTTGCGTTTAATAAAATTCGTCGTTTAATTTAAAAACAGTTTCAGTTGGATGTAAAAGGAAGATATAGAATAGGTAGTAATATTTTCTGATATATCTAGAAATAGATACTTACCAGTTTATTTTTCACCTAGCTGGCATACATCTCCCATTTACAGCATTAAAGTTATTGCCATTACTTACCGAACTCCTTGTTGTTGGCATCTGTCCTGGGCCCCGTCTCGTTGGCCCCGAAGTTTTTCCCCCACGTCCTGAAGAATCCGTTGGCGATGTCTTTCCGCCAAGTCCACAAGCAGTCGGTCTCAAATTCGCAGTCCGTCTCAGACTCGTAGACCTTTTTGTCTTCGCTGGGATGGTGACGACGTAGTTCTCTGATTATGTCGAATTTTTTATTTTGCAATTGTTCAGTATTCACACCTAATGAATTCGAAGGGATCGTATTAGTATAAGGGAAATGCCAAGTGAAAAAAATAGTTTATAAAGTCTATGTCATAACTCTGATGAAGAGAAATCCAACATCTTTACTTCATATTAAGGAATTATTTAAACCAAAAAAATAAATAGTGGTAAAAAACGTGTATTAAAAAATTTTGACAATTAAAGACTTTTTTGTACAAAAGAACATTCTTTAACCGCTCCCTTCAATTTTATAACCTTATTAGAACTTTTAAAAGTATCCCCGCTTACTTTTTCGCGTTTCCACAATTTAAAATTAGACCAGGACGGGTCTGTTTTGAGGTGGATGTGAGAGGGGGCAATCATTATTATAATTATTTAAATAATTTTTGTTTAAACAAATTAACAAATTGTTTTTTAATTAGAAATGATTTTTTTTTGTTAAATACAGATAAAATTAAGAAAAAATAGTACATTAAAATTTTCATTTATGAAAAAAACTAAATTGCAAATTGATAAATGTAATCTAATTGTTCAAAAATAAAAAAAAGAGTGTTAACTTTAAAAATTTACTGTGGCCGATCAACCGATTTCAATTTTTCAAAACATATTTGAATGGTTGAGCGGTCTTTTCTATGTGAAAAAATTTTCAAGAATCTAGATGCTTTATTTGAGGCTGTGCAACATTTTGAAAATTCGAAATATTTTTTTCAAAATTTTGTTCAAAAAATTATTTTCCGAAAACTATAGAACCGTTTTTAATGAAATTTGGTTGTGTTGTTTTATTATACTCTAAAGTTTTTTCTACCAAAATTAGAATGCCCTCGGAGCAATTAAAATAATGTAAAAAAATTATCCAAAAAACTTGATTATTTTGGCTATTTTTCATCAATTATTGTTATTTTGCAACATCGGTAATAAACTTAAACATTTTTAACTTACAGTATATTGTGCAAAATTCAATTCTAAAACTTTTTTTCTTCTTCAATATGCATAGATTCCATAATATAAGTAAAAAACTCAGATAAAATAGGTATTTTTTAGAATGTTTTAAACATATTTGCAATTTTGAAAATCTTCCAGACCTCGCCCAGATCTAGGGATCTACGCTTTTATTATGTGAGTTGTACCTACTGAAGATATTCCAGGAAAAATTAGCTTGCCCCTTTTTACATATTTCGACATATCCGCCCTGGTCTAAATTGAACGTTAGCCACATTTAAATATCAACTATATCAAATATTTATACAAAAATATCAGTATATATAGAAGGCAGTCAGCTTTGGAGCTCGCGCAAAATCTCATTTGCGAAAATGTAGCACAAAGAGCGCTGGCTCACAAAAGAATTATTAATGAGATTTTGCGTTAACAGATTTGCAAAACTATGAATCATCCACAGGAAAATATAGAAAGCTGCAACGTGCTTAAATGGAAGATTCTACAGGAAATGAATCGATTAAAAGGAGGATGTCAATAGTAACAAAAATCTGCGTCTTCCCAAATTTTCTACGGTTTCTAACAAGCATCATTTAGGAAATTGGTTTTATGACTAAGTATTTATACCAATCCAAATGGGATAGCTGTTTATTTAAAACTAAATATACGGTTCAGATGGAGAGTATTTTTCAATTTCTCATTGACTGGCATCGACGCGGCTGAAAGTTATTTTAAACAAACCAACCAATATTCTTGAAATTAATGGCAAAGATGAAGCAATGGTTAAGTTTAGAAACAAAGAAATGTTTTATGAGTTTAATTGCGACTTGGGTTTACGATTTATCCGTATATATTTTTAAATTCGTCGAATTAATTTTTTCATGCTTTCAATAGAATATCAATCTTTGAAGGTGAATTACCAGGACTGACTAATAATCTTTGAAAGGCTGTATGATTGGTAGATCTACTGCATTCAATCTAGTGTGTGTTACCCAATCTATTGCTGATGCTTTGGGAAGGTGAAGAGGAAGCATTTGATAAATTACATCATGATATACTGCTAGAGAAGAATATTTTGCCATCAGTAAAACTCTTTTACAGTCGTTGAAGTCATGTATTTCCCATCGTGTTTCATTTTCTCTGTTTTTTATTCAGACAGTTGTATTTTTAATAGTTATTTATTGTCAATTAAAACACGAATGCAATACAATGTTTTATCCATAATCACATCACAATCATATTTGTGGAATCAGAATTATTGGAATTTAATAAAAAAAATATTCGCACAACTTAATATGTCTTACTAGTACTCGTGGTAGGTTTTGTTACGTTGTTTATTATCAATTATTCAATAAACAGTTCTATCTGAATTTGATAAAAATGCAAGAAATTAATTGTGTTCCTGTGGCTGGTTTTGAAGAAGCTCAAGAAGCAATTTTCCATTTATTGCCAGCGAAATTCAAGGAACATTACGAAAAAGTGTTGGCCGAATTTAACGAATGGAGGGAAAAACGGAGAGTAGTGACAATAAATGAAAAAGTCATGCTATCGTATTTTTTAAATTTGAAGAAAAAAAGTGCAATATCATCTATGTGGTCGAAGTATTCGATGTTGAAGACTACTATAAAGGTCTACAAAAATATGTATATTGGAAAATATAACAAGCTTATTGCTTATTTGAAGAGTGAATTATTCTACTACTGAAATAAAGTTACTTTATTCCACTAGTGGGTAAAGTATCACTTTAGACAGTTCATATGTGTGGATAAAAGTCCGATTATAAGGTGGTTGTGGATAAATAGTTTTATTTATATTGTTATACTACATATTTGAGGATATCCCGATCATTGCTTCATATTTACACATGTCAATTTCTCAAAAAACAAATATAATAAAATGAATAATGAAATAGCCAGACGAAGGGAGAAAATACCTGATTTTAGTATTGTTTATAACCGCACTATTAATATGAAAATTAACAGACCGTTTTAAATTAATTCGACGCTTTAAAAAAAACGTTAATTGGGTGATAGAGATGTTATATTTAGATAACGATTTAGAAGTTTGTTTTTTCGCGATTAAAATTATGTACCTGCCGTCATTACAGGTAATAAGCTAAGATACACATCCGATAAATTTTAACCCCAACTTGTTCCAAGAAAAGCAACACTGAGGCACTGATATATTATCCCCGTTGGTAATTTATTTGCAGGTGAATTTTTAGTCCCACTAAAGTTATACCAGGAATTAGTTACGGGTTACCGCAATTTTCTGAGAATTTTTAAAATAACGCAGTGGATTATAGCGCAGATTATTCGCTCTTACGTGGCTATTTCATTAAAATGCTTGCTGTAACACGAGGGTTAAGAATGTTGCGTAATTTGCAATTACCTCGTGAAATTGCGTTTGCATGGAAATGAAAAATTCGCACTGCCGTTAGTTCATAGTTGACATCACAAAATTATTTTCTTAACTTCATGTAAACATTCTTGTCATGCGCAAAATAGTACAAGCTATATAGTTCTTAATAGATTTCCGAAAATTAGAAAGAATAGGAATTCAAGCTTGTAATAAACCAAAAATTCCTACAGTAAGACTACATTTTTCAGAAACAGAATGTCAGATTGGTTTGTACACTAGTTGCTACATTTTGATACCAAATATGAGTCTGAGACTTTTCAGTCAAGTATCTTGCTCTGACAAAAAAAATCGTGAAATTTTTAGTGATCTTCAAAAGGCTGTATCTTCATGAAAAATGGTCGTTTCGAGATAAACAGAAAAGGGTTTTCAAGCTTTAACTCTGGTTTCAAGATATTCACACAAAAAAATTTAAAAAACTTTTGAAAGATTTTGTTGTTTTGTTTGAAAATATGAATAGACCAGGGCGGATCTGTTTTGAGGTGGATGTGAGAGCAGGCAAGCCAAGGTAATGTAATTTTTTTAGTACCTTCGCATTTTGAACCTCCGAAATAAGTCTTGGAGCGAAAGCCCCCTCCCCCACTTTTCGTGTTTTGAGTCACTTTTCGCGCGTGCGAGCGACAGCTTTTCCGCTGATTTATCTATGTTGCCAATAACTTACGGATATGAAAATTTTTTCATGCTTAGAACTCGGAAAAGCGAAGCCACTGGATCAAAGATTATTGCTAAATTGTTTATAAATTAACGGTAAATGCCGATAAACTTTGACCGCTTATATCTCGAGAACCAATACAAGGAATTTAACTTTTTTTTTAAAGAAGCGGCTTTCCGAAAAAAAATTATAATTTTTGAAAAAAAACTAAATTGCAAATTGATAAATGTAATCTAAGTGTTTAAAAATAAAAAAAAGAACCGATTTCAATTTTTCAAAAACCAGTTGAAAGGTTGAGCGGTCTTTTCTATGTGAAAAACATTTCAAGTATCTAGATGCTTTATTTGAGGCTGTGCAACATTTTGAAAATTCGAATAATTTTTTAAAAAGTTTTTTCAAAAAATTATTTTGCGAAAACTGTAGAATCGATTTTAATGAAATTTGGTGTATTGTTTTATTACACTCTAAAGTTTTATTGATCAAAATTAGAATGCCTTCGGAGCAATTAAAATATTTTTAAAAAATTATCCAAAAAGCTTGATTATTTTGCCTTCTTTTCATCATTTACTGCAATTTTGCAACATCGGTAATAAATTTAAACATTTTTAACTTACAGTATATTCTGTAAAATTCAATTCTAAAACTTTTTTCCTCTTCAATATTCTTCCAAAATGCATAGATTCCAACATATAAGTAAAAAACTAAGATAAAATAGGTATTTTTTAATTTTTTTTAAACATATTTGCAATTTTGAAAATGTTCCGGACCTCGGCCAGATCTAGGGATCTACACTTTTATTATATGAGTCGTACAGAAGGTATTCCAACAAAAATTAGCTTGCTCCCTCTTAAGAAGTGTTGACAATAATTTTTGTATAAAAACCGTGTTTGCTTTTTTTATCAAATTCCTTTTTAAATTTGGTAAATTTTACTCTTTTGTTTGGTAATTTATATTCTTTCAGATATTTATTAATTCCATTCAAAAAGGAGACCATTTGGAAAAGCAATTTTTAAAAGGCAGAAATAAGTCAATTGCCATTAACAAAAGACATAAAATTGTGCCATTTTGTAAAATGATAATAGAAACATTGACTCAAGACTCAGTATGGCCTTAATTGGTGAAGGTACCTTATTGGATTAATGAAAGCTAGAATGTAATGGAACAAGGAAATGTTTCATGCCATTGGCCATTATGAAAAGTGCCAGAGAGACGTCGACGGACTACTTTCCTCTTCAATATAAGGATTTAAAGAAAATTTACATGGCTTACCATATTCCGTTCCCGCGAAACTGTGTTTGCCGATTCTAGTTTCATTCGGTTCCATCCTGGGATTAGCATCGGCCGGCATAACTTCATCCCTCTTCTTTTCCTCGTTTAGTCTTTTCCTTATGCTTACTATGCTCCTGTCCGGAGCTTGCCTCCTGTATCTAATAAAATAACTGCTGAGCCTCTCGTAGGCTTCCTCGTTCAATATGTCTTTTATATCGTCGCCTATATTGCTAAATTGTGGACGTTTCGGTTGATTTGAAGCAGTTTGATAAGTTCTTATTGTGTGAGCACCATTTTGATTTAAATTTAAACTAGAGTCATTCTCCGGTCCGGCGTCGTCTTTCCTTTTTTCCTCCTCATCTTGGCACTGTACCGCGGTCTTTCGTATTATTAATAGAAGCGAAAAGAGTACAAAACGTTTAACAATCATCATTCTTGATGCGCTTATATGCCACTTATCGATATAGCTCCTATGAAATCGCAGCTCGTCGCTGGCATCTTTGCAGGTTATTGACTCCCCTTTTTAAGTATAGATCTGGAAAGAAAGTCCAATTAAAAAGTGATAAACTAAGTATAAGTTGCATTTATTAAACGGTCATAACAGTAGGTAGATCTCTGCAGTTTGTTTCAACCAATAACTTTTTTACCTAAAGCTCAAAATATTCTTGAAATTCTTATGCGCCTATATTAACTGCAGAATAAATCACTAGACTGTTGAGATAATAGAGAAATATTTAAACTATATACATAATTCTTATCGTTAATATATTCACCAGAAGAAAGTCACGTCCGTTTTTTCTAGAAATATTAAATTCGATGCTTACACATCCATAGCTAATCATCAGTGAAAATTCTGAGAAATTGTAGTGAAGTTAATATGAGGCAAAGAATTTACTGCCCACTGGTCAATATCAAACAAAAAAATATCACTGGAATTAACAAGCGTAAGTATTTTTCAGTGTGTTTATTTATGAAGAATTTCACAAGTGCAATTGCTTTCGAAGAGCAACGACACTGCCAAGAAATTTTATGGTATTTCACATGAACAATTCCAGATATACAATAAGCAAAATGTCCTTTTCAAAATGCCTGACTATACGTCACTAACAACACATTACAAACATGCAGTATTTTAATCTACGCTATAGGGACATTTAAATGTAAATATTTGTTTCAGAAGCATTACATTCAAAAGGAATTTCTCACACTTTCGACTCATTGAAATGAAATGAAAAATATTTTGTTAAAAAATACGGAATTTTCAGTGTGTATGTTTAAAAGCAATAATTTCACGTAGACACTTCTTATAATTAAAATTATTCCGTTCGGATTTGTTTACAGTAAAAACTGGCGTCAAGCCACTTGGTAGCAGACTGATTTATTTGTTGTAATAAGAGTAGAAAATAGAGACTATATTATAGAATTCAAGAGAGTTATAATTTTTTTACTCTAAATCCCCAAAATCTGTTAGAGGCAACAAATGTATAGCGATTAAAATGACAACCTCTCACATATCTATAAAAGAACTCGACACGTTTTTTCTGCAAGATTTAGGCGAAATTGAATCATTTTTTTATGAACAAACAATAATTTAAGAGATACAAACAGAATTATAGATTTTCTTATATAAACGTAGAACATACTGTAGATATAGTAAACTAATTTAATTGCCACTAAATCTTACGCAACGGAAGCCCTGATTAGGCTAAGTGCCTTTGAAGTCCCAGTTGACAATTATGTGCTTGATACTTAAGAGCAACACTCCTTAATACTACTTTTCTATACATTTCACATGAAAATTACGTTTTTGTGACAGTTGAGTGTTGAAACTACCGAATATACTCGTTATGCTGCGAAACTATTACCTTGAATTATCATAAAACTCATAATTTCGCTTTCTAATATATATTTTTTAATCACATAAAATTTTTGGCATCAGTTGTCACAAATTGGAAGAAAGCCAAATTCAAGTATGTACTACTCTGCTATTAATTCGTACTCAAAGAAATAACATTTTGTTAATTTTCAAGAGTTTATTTACGAAAATATGTCGGTTGGTTTCATTCAATTTTCAATGGAAGAAGTAGATACATCATGTAAAATAAATAATTTGAATTAAAAATGTTTAAGAAACGTGCGGTACTGTGTTTGTGAAACATGCTAAAATTAATTGCTTTAAGATATGATAGTTAATAAAATTGATCTAAAATGGGGCTAAAATAAAACTTCACCTTCATATTACAAGAAAATGTAAGAGATACATTTCTGTGAATAGCTTAAGCTTAGTGACTATGATTTTGGAATGATGAAAGTTCATCACACTGTTTGTGATTAAAAAATTGTAGCTAAAGGTATTATTCCTAGATATATAATAGCGGATAAGTCAAATAAATATATCAGCTGTAACGTTACAACAGAAACTGCACTAAATCGGTAGTCAATTTAATATAAATAATGCAAAATAACTTTTTATGATAACCTATCACCTAAAACCTGATAAATGTTGAAGCGCCAAAATATCACAGAATAATAAAATATCATCTATTCTACTACAGTTTTTCTTTTCAAATCAACATTCAAATAATATTTTTTTGAATGTCCTTAAAACCAAAGTACAAAATGGAATTAGTTTTCTAAAAACGGGCAAAGTTTTTTTAAGTTTCATTTGCAAATGCAAAACAAAACTTTAGATTTTTTCGACTTCACTTATAATTTCTATATACTTTATGTAAATAATATTAAAAACAGAAAAATATGAAAATCCATAAAGTTTTATAAAATATCGCACACACAAACCGTGTCAACGTACATATTTACATTTATTTTAAGGCCTTGGTAATGAATTTTCATTCCCCCAAGACATTCTTCAATATAATTTATAATTACTAAGCACAAAATGTTTTCAATGTCACCAATATCTTGGATCGCTTCCAGATAATAATGTTTGTATTTAATGATGAATTAATATAAATAGAAGAAAGTGCTCACTACTTTTTTTTTTGGTCTTTTACATAAAATTCTTCGTTAAATCTAAATTAAAAGCACACATAGTATGTACCACATTTTATCAAAAATAATAGAAATGTCAGAATTAATCTACAAATACTTATATGTCTAGCGTTTCTCAAACAAGTTGTTTCAAGAAGTAAATGAACCTAAAATAGTAAACAGTAAAAAGGTGAATAAAAAATATAATTATACACGCAATTCATACCAGAATTATAAAAAATGCCTTGCATTTATTCATATAAAAATAGTACATTCTACGTTTTATGCTACGTATATGTATAAAAATTATATTAATAATTGTATTTATTACAAAGGTTGAAAATTTTGAAAAATCAATGTAGTCTCCTAGGTACCATAAAAATATTGTTTTAATCAAACATTTGTCCGATTGGGTGTAGTTTATGATGTAGGTACATAGGTATATATTTTTAAATGAACTTGCGTATTTACGAATAAAAATGTCATTAGATTCAGTAAGATTGGCGTTTTCTGCTACAGACATTTTGCTACAACAGTTTCTGTGCATAAGAGAGCATATATTGTTGAAAAAACCCTCAAATGCCGCCGACATCTAAATGTCAGAAAGTAAATGGGCTTCTATTTATCAAGATCGCATTCGGGAAAATTTCCACAGCGAGCGTTATTTACGATTATTTATACACATACACACGCACACAATTCCAATGTTCGACCATGTAAACACACGAAAATACAAAAAGTCCTTACTTTTCGACGAGACGTTTGCACCCACGAAACGACCAAGGATTACGCCATACGTATTCAATTAATTCAAAAACTGCCCGGTTTTAAGTCAGCATTATCACTCAAAATTGTCCTCAAACTGTTGTTGCGGCACCCACGGTTTATACAACAAGCTAGGTCCGTACGCGACGTCTTTAATTTTAAAATTGCAATCAACAGACTAGAGTAAAAATATCTTCGGTACAACCCATAGTATCTTGTGCGCGCTGGCCGAATTGGGGAAGAGACGAACATAGAATTTTGGATAGGGAGAATAGAGATAGCCGGAGCATATCGATTTTTGTGTGCCGCTAGCTTACATCTCCAGCAAAAATAAGATGAAACGCCGTCGCGACATCTATCGGGATGCTGTGTATGCTCGTACGATTTCCTACTAATCTACTACATACGGTGTGGCTCACAGGGGGTATCCGGTTTTAACGCGGGTGGAGGAGTAAAAAATGGAAATTTAAAATGTTTTACTAATTTCATGTTACATTTGGTGAACAGACAACATAGAAGAAGAAAAAAAGAACACGCAAATCACTCACTAAATATTGTTTTCTAATAACTTAAACATTTTAGGAGAATTTTATAGATGTAGAATGTTTAATTATGTTGTTTATGATTTGAAACGATGGATCTATGTTGTTAGAATATTATCCCATGTGAAACTCAAATACTGCAAAGAGTGGACTTAATGTGTTTATGAAATAAGAAATTATGCTGTATATTGCACAATTTTCAAACAAATAAGAAGATGTGAATGTATTGAGAATATTTTATATAGTGTTTATCTTCACAGTTTTAATTTTATTTTTAAGCATATGTATGTCGCCAAAAATTTCCTACATTCTTTTCCTTCTAATTCAATGACGTTCTCCCCAAGTTCCATGCTTCTATGCTCCTGTCATTCTCTATGTCAATTGTCAATTGTCGGTATATGATTTGCGCAGATTCAAACTGGTAATTAGCTTACAAAAACAAAATATATTACCTAAACAACATTATGATCTTTTAGAGTAGTAATATACATAGAATTAATAAATAATGACTGATACGAGAAGCAAATACGGCCCTCTAATTGGCTCAATAGATGAGGGCACTTCTAGTACAAGATTCTTGGTGAGTTGACCCTCTTTTTTTTTTTAACTAATCAAACTGCACATTTTAGGTATTCGCCTCAAAAACCGCAGAAGTATTAACTTACCATCAGGTCGATGTGCCTCATATCGTTCCCAGAGAAGGATGGTTCGAACAGGACCCAATGCTAATTTTGCATTCAGTTATAGAAACGATTGATGTCTCATGTGAAAATCTTAAAAAGCTAAATATTAACTACGAGGATATTGTAGCTGTAGGGATAACCAACCAAAGAGAAACGACAGTATTATGGGATCCTACAACAGGAAAGCCCTTATATAATGCTTTAGGTAAGAAGTAAAAAATCTAGTTTAGTAAATTATGTGAAATTTAATTTTCCTTGTTAATATGCCATGTTTTTCTAAGAATGACGTAATATTTAACTTGCAACTTATTTCCTGGGCTTCTTATCATTTGTAAACATTTATGTTTTGTGACTAATTATTGTTATTATATTTTTTTGTTGCAATCGTTGTTGTTTATATACTATCTTATCAAAGTCCAAGGTTATCAATACTTAGTAAATATTTTTTTGTCAAATTTACATATAAGCTTCATCAATTTACAATAACATTTAATAAAAAAGTATTCTTTATTTTTCTAAATATTGTACTACTTAGCTCTAGTATAGAATGAGAAATATGAAATTTTCACCTTTCTTAATAGTATTTAAATTAATTATGATAATGTGTAACATAAATCTGAAAAATTATATATTTTTAGGAAAATGTATTCTAATTTTCTTCCTTTAAACAATTCAAAAATTCATTTATGATATTTCTGTCAATTTTTGTTTGTAAAAGAATAAGTACCATTAATTTTATAATTGTTTTATACTAGTCTGGATGGATATGAGGACTTCTAGTACAGTAGATACGATTTTACAAAACGGAAAACGATCTCAGAACTTTTTGCAAAATCTTTGCGGCTTACCTGTCAGCACCTATTTCAGTGCCCTTAAAATAAAATGGATGATGGATAACGTTAAGGGGGTGAAAGAAGCGATGGCTGAAAATAGATGCATATTCGGAAATATTGACACATGGTTGATATGGGTAAGTCTTAGAAAAACTAGTTAAATATCCATCTGAAAATAGTTATCGTACTCTTATAAAATTTTATAACATTTTTGTAGAACCTTACAGGTGGCGTAAACGGGGGCCTGCATATAACAGACGTTACGAACGCTTCGCGTACGATGCTGATGAGAATAGATACGTTAAAGTGGGATAAAAATCTATGTAAGGTATTTGATATCCCGATGCACATTCTTCCAGAAATCAGAAGTTCTGCTGAGATATACGGTTACATAACCAACGTCACCAAACTGGCTGGCGTTCCTGTGTCCGGCGTAAGTTGTCTTAGGTCGACGTTACAATTTTTTGACGATTGAACTTTTAAATCAGATTTTAGGCGATCAGCAGGCGGCGTTGGTAGGCCAGATGTGCTTTAATATAGGCCAAGCAAAAAGCACCTACGGGACGGGTTGTTTCATTTTGTACAATACGGGGACTAGCGTAAGGAGAAGAAGATATAATTACGTTGGTAACTTAATAGCGTTGTTTTTAGATGGTGCGGTCTACGCACGGGCTGTTAACCACTGTCGGTTACCAGTTGGGGCCGGACAAGAAACCTACTTACGCGCTGGAAGGTTCCGTGGCGATAGCAGGTTCGTAACTAATTTGAAATAAATATTCGTATCGCGATTTGTGCTCGTTTCAGGTATTTCTATTAAGTGGCTTCGAGACAATCTTCAGATTCTAAAAAACGTCAGCGAATCCACCGAGTTAGCTCAATCGGTCGATGAACCTGGCGAGGTGTACTTTGTACCTGCTTTTTCTGGCTTATACGCTCCTTACTGGAGGAAAGACGCCAGAAGGTACGCTTTGTTTTTATTAATTTTATGTGGAATAAACTCCGGGGTAAAATTAATTCAACCAAGAAATTGGCCCCAATTTGTTCTTTGACGCACTTGCAATTAAATTAAAACGCAGCAATTTGCTGTAAATCTAAAAAAATTTCCCCAAAAAAGATTGGCTTTAAAATTGAAGCATTTTTAGTGGTGCGTTAATTTTGTCCAGGGGATTAATTCATATCGTCAACAAAAAACTATTGTTTTTTTTTTTTGGAAGTGTGTTTTTAAACACTATTTAGGATGGTTGAGTAATTTCCAAACTGGTTGTCGCGTCGAATGTTTAGATCTTTGATGTTTCGAGGGAAATATCACTCTCTTCTTCAGAAGAGACTCTGGCAGATTAAGTTCTTCCTTTGGTCAGTATTTATATTCGTTTTTGGATTAATCCTTTCCAAATCCTAAGTAATCATAATTCTTTTTCCGCGTTAAAATTTGTCTAACTCTTCTCGGGAGTCTTGCCAATATCTACTCTCTGTCACCAAAATTCTATTAAGTCCATTAAATCCCCTGTCGCTTCCCTGTTATTCTTAAAAAATTGACATTCGGCTTACTTTAACTTCATTCTTGTGAGTTTTTTTGAGATCGGCCAAAAAATAAAGAAGCTGCAGGCTTGTATCACATTTAAGCGCGACACCCTGTATATCCGATTTTGTCAGTACAGTAAAACTCAAAATAAGATGAATTATTTATTGAGATAATTGCATCCCATATTGCCAATTTCCAAAACCTGCAGTATCTAAAATAAACAGGCTGGAGTCACAAAAACCCACCGTACGTGGTGTGCTCAGTGACCGATGACTTGGCAACCAGCTCGGAAGTTGTTCAACCATCGACCAATCCGCAAATCAGACTGTGTAGTACATTTTAAATTTTCTCAGTGTGATATGCGGACTGACTGAAGAGACTAAACCGGGTCACATCGCCAAAGCCGCTCTAGAGGGGGTGTGCTACCAAGTTCGAGACGTGCTCGAAGCGATGGCGTTGGACTGCGGTTTTCCTTTAAGTAAATTATTAGTTGACGGTGGGATGACCAGCAATGACTATTTGATGCAGCTGCAGGCGGATTACTGCGGAATACCAGTAGGTAGGTGATTTATAAAGGCTCAATTTGTGTATTTATATATTTTTGTGTCTATTTTTAATGTGGGAAGAGGTTAAAGGTGAATTTCGTGACATTCGTGAAACAGTGACGTCACAGAATGACTGAAAAGTTTAATCGTCTCTGACATGCTTGAACTTGGGACTAATAAAAGTTGCCGTTTGTAAATCGTTTAATTTTTATTGTTTTATTTTTACGAAATTAATTTTTTACTTTATTAAATCTTGGTGCTTTCAATGAGTGTGAATGGTGAGTTTTTTTGTATTGGTCAATATAAAGATGTGTTTGTAGTGAGGCCTACAATGCTGGAGACAACTGCCCTGGGGGCTGCGATCGCCGCCGGCACGGCGAAAGGGGTGGAGGTGTGGAATGCCGAAAAGATCGAACCCGTTCCAAGTGACACTTTTTGTCCTTCGATTAGCGACGATGGTAAATAATACAGAATTAGAAGAAATCCAATTTTTTTTCATATTCGCTTTCTTTTTAGTAAGAGACATAAAGTACTCTAGGTGGAAAATGGCAATTAGGAGGAGTTTCGGGTGGGCCGTCGAAACAGAAAATAATGTGGACATAGGTCAGTATCTAACGGCCTACATTATACAGGGTTTTAGAAGTTTGACTGTCTTAATTTTAGCAGACGATAGAATACATTAAAATAAACAAAAAAACCTTATAATATGTACATACTAAGCTGTCCAGCCAGCAATACGCAATTCAGTTGGTATCTGGAATTGGACCGTGTCTGAGTGTTTTTTGTTCATTTACGATTTCTATATCTCGTGCTGAAGTAATGGCAGTCAAACTTCTTACGCCCTGTATTTATACTTTGCATTCTAATTTCCAGTCCTCAATAAACGAAACCAAGTGTTTCATAATAAAAATCTTGTAACGGCGCTTTAGATTGTGCCGTTTTTTTTTTACAAATTACAAACGTAAAATTTTTATCGAAAACTGGAACTTGGACATCCTGCACCGCATTGGGGTCTTTTGGTATACTTTTTCCTATTTTATTTTTGGCAGATTTGCCACGTTTGGTTAAGGGTGAGGAACATACATCAGGTACAGGCAATACTAGAATAGCTGTTTTACGGCTTATCAACTAACACTTAATGCTCGATACATTTATCTCTGTCATGTCTTTTAATTTCATTTTCTGTTCCATCGGAAGCCTATATATGCAAACGTTCTAAATCGTTAAAAGCTGATCAGTTATTACTTTAAAAAATCCTGCGCTAGGTAATTTTATGCTACGTTTGACCTTTGGAGGCACCTATCATAGGTTTTCTCAAATTCCTTTGTGATAACAGATGTTTCTAAATCTTTTTTTCGTAATTTTCACCTCCATAATTGGGAGCTATGAATTGCTTTGTTGTAAAATCTCGCTTTTCTTGATTCGTTTACATATTTTTTCATACTATCGCATAGAAACTTAACAATGCAGACACACAAACACACTTTAGTGCTGTGGCAAACAACTACACGGGTTGGGTGCTCCGGTACAGCATTGGTGTGACGGCTACAGACTCGTTTTGAATATTGGCGTGATATAACCTACAAAGCTCCTGTCATATCTTTAAATGTCATTGCTACTACAGGTCTACTGGCCAGCGTACCTACTGACACAAAGTGACCTACTATGAGCTATGAACGTATAATTAGTACCACAGTAGGCAGAATAAGCTTATTTAGTACCAATATCTTTAATTAAAATGTTTATTCCGCTTTGTGTGGTGCGTTCACAGCGCCTACAGATTAGTAGGTCATTTCGGCAGTAGGCACATGGGCCAGTAGGTGTAAAGTAACAATGACGTTTAAAGCTGTGACATATGACATATGTTTTGTAGGTTATATCTCGCTAATACACAAACACATATCGTGTTAAACACTGAAATGAATAACTTTATGCTCGACACAAAGTTCTTTACTCTGCAGGAGCAATAAAAATTTTTACAGGTGTCTTCAATTTTGATGAACCAGGCTTCGTATCGTTTGTAAAATACAACTTATTAAGTTTCGGGGTGTCTATCAAAATTCATTTGCAATGAAGCCATTCTCGTGAAATCTGTTCTAAGATTTCAAGAATTTTGGGCTATATCTTGACCATCGGAAGCTATGAAATTGGGTGTTGGGAAAGACGCCTTGTTTACTTCTGATTATTGAGATAAAAATCGCCAAAGTTGGTCGAATTACTGATTTGAGGGTCATTTTTGGAGTGTACTCTGACTCATGATGACAGTTTTACCGAGGAACAAAATTTTCTTCAAGTTGACAATTTAATTGTGATAAAATTAATAATTATTGAAACAATAAGCTCAAGATTACATTAAAACACCGTATTCTGTTTCACCGGATGTGATTGGTGTCATTTTTTACGAAATTCTATTCAACCAATCAGCGATAGCATTATTTCGAGCGTACACGTAACGGTTCGTCATTGTTCATTGTAAACGAATCATTAATATTGGTGACGGCAAGATTTAGGGAGTTTTCGTTACCAGTAGTACCAATCGTACACTGTTGGTTGCGTAATCTCGGCTCTACGTAACAATAAAACTGAAACGAAGAAAGAAACTTATGATTTTTTCTGTCAACTCAATTTTTGCTCTCTTCACAAATATTTCGCAACTTTGGTTTCATTATTTATAAAAACATTGCTTCTCTGTCTTCTCTTTGGCGATAAATCTCACGTTTAAATAGCATTAAGATCCGCTATGTCTAGTGGCAACCTGTGAACACCATCACATTCTAGTGTGGAAATATTAATTTTTGACAAACAATATCGGCAATCAGCGTACCTACAATGTGTTACTTTATTTTTATTTTATTTTATTTTATTGTAAAATAAATAAGTTTGCATATTTAGGCTCCACATTTCATGTCATCTCTCAAAGAAGCATGTGTTCATATACCTGCCATTTTCGTGCACCAAAATATATTTTTTTACTGCGAAAAGTCGCGTTTGCATAACTTCAATAGGCAACCAGCAATACATTTTTATAGATTTTAATACACAGTTTGTCTAAATATGAATTAATGCACAAATAACGGACTTTCCTCCGTTTTAACGCAGATTTTCTATGAAATGGAGTTAGTTTTAAACTCAAATTACTTTTTGTTGTAAAGACATTTGTAATTTGCATCGTAAATTACAAATTTCTTTGAGTACTTAATTATTGATGAGAAACTGTGTTTCATTCAGTCTTCGAAGGATCATCGAGAACTTGGAATCAATTTAGGGAAAAAATTATTTTTGCTATTTTTTAATGCGTTTTGACATTTTGACGAGAAGAATCAGCCCTGAATGGTACACCCTGTAGAATGACGAGTATAATAAATATTGTTATCTTGTTACTATCTTATTGCTGTTGTCTCACGATAGTCTTAATTCATATCATTTTTAATATAATTATTATCTACGTAATAATTAAAACCGTTTACTCTTTAGGCGATAAAATAGCTGCATCCGTGCCAGGAGGAATTTACGTAGTGGGAACCTTTTTCATATTGATCATAGCAGAACATTTGAATAAATAATCCTCCTCTAGGTGGAAATAGTTTGGTTTGAAATTCCCTCATTAGTCTTTTACTGCGGGGATTGGGGACATGAATAATTTTTTTTATATTAATTAGTTTATTGTGCAAGTTATAAAAGTATTAAAAATGTTCAATTAGATTTTTGTGATAAAAGAATAGTCGATGTGTTCTTCATTCACTATTACTTGGAAAAATGCTTAAGCTCGGATTTCAAGCTGCTTCTTAGCGCAACATTTATGACGTCCAATCAGGATTAGAAACTATTTGTTATAAAGCGAACGCGCAGTATTTATCAATCAGGAATATTTTAATTATTTCATCATTATAATTTCTTTTCTATTATTCGATGTGTTCACATATGAATCCCTAGATCGGTAATTGTAATTGTTTTTTGGTCTATGACTAGGTTTTTTTACAACTTTTTACACTGCTTTACTCTAAACGGTAGAAATTACTTTATACAATAAACTACATGCATGCATTAAAATTTTTCTTTCTTCAGATTTGTTTCAAATCTAGAATCAGTTTTCTTTTTATTATTTTAAAAATAATAGTGAATTTAATAGTTGGAACTTACAAATATCTTTTACGATGTGTAAAATTCGCAACTGTATCGTTAAAATCATTATTACTTTTTAATTTATCATACTTTTGGTTTGGGCTATTGTATACAGGGTGTCCCGAAATTCATGCAACAAAATTTGGTCATAGATTCTTAAGACAAATTTTGGGGACCCGTATTTTTTCTTTTTGCCAACTGGCCCCCTCTTTGGGAGTTACAGCCTCCTTAAATCTGCCCCTAAGAAGTATTTTTATGTTTCAAAACCATGTACGAGAATCACTAAATTTGGTACACAGGGATTTTATGACGTGGAATCTCACAGTGCTACGCTTTTTGGCGAGAAACTCTTTTAAGACTCTTAAGCCATTGAATTTAGAAACTTTTTTGTCGCTTGATATTTGTTTCGTAAAACGCAATGTTTTTGAGAAAAATGGCGAATCACGATATGCATTCGATCACATTTTGACATTCTTCTCGAAAACATTGCATTTTACAAAAAAAGTATAAATAGAAAAAGTTTCAGTTTTCATTAGTTTCTCTGTTTAACAGTTAATTAAAAAATATGTACAAATAATAAATGACGTAAAAAATTTTATATTTTTAGAAACGATAGAATGTTTTTTTAAGATCGGTCCTTCGATCACAGTGATAACAAAAAAAATGGTGGCTTTAAAATACCACATCGCAATCTATGTTTAATTAAATTACTTTTCATTGCAATTTCGCACAATACAAATTGGCTCAGAAACACTGGCAACGTTGATGGTGCATTAATACGCTAATTCCGAGAACTCTGGTTTACGCCCAGTGGCGGCGCACTATGGGTCAAACGGCATTTTTTTATGTCAAAATCAAATATCTCGAAGAAAAATTAACGAATGGTTTTACATTTTTTTTTTAATTAAAGCTTATTTGATGCAGATTTAAGGAAAATTATTGTGAATGTCATCATCCCCTATTTTGGAGGTGGAAATGAATAACAATAAAAAAAAAATTAAATTTTTTACATGATGCTTACTGTAAGAAAATGCGTATACTTACAGTAAGCAAACATTCATTTCTGTGTCAAAACGCAGTTTTTCTTATAACAAGGCAATAAATCCAAATTTTTTTGGCTCCAAAGACAAGAGGGCCCACGAAAGTTTGTCTTAAGGGGGTTCCCCGCCAAACAAAGTAGCACTATCAGATTCCACATGTCATAAAACCGCTGTGTACCAAATTTAGTGATTCTCGTACATCAGGGTTCTGAGATATAGAAAAAAGATTATTCTTAGGGGCGGACTTCAGGGGGCTGTACCTCGAAAGAGGGGGCCACTTGGCAAGAATAAAAAATACGGGTCCCCTAAATTTGTCTTAAGAACCTGTGACCAAATTTTGTTGCATGAATTTCGGGACACCCTGTATAAGTTAATGAGGGTTTAATGAGCTGTGATTTTATTTATTTTTAAACATTTTGTGATGTGGCCATATTGTATGGGAACTGAATAAACGTAAAAAAGTATATGTCGTATATATTTATCACATCCCATAGAAATTTAAACGGACATCATGTACGTCATCAATTATATTTTTTCCAGAAAGGTCTTGGTTTGGGTGAAGTTAATATAGTTTAGGAGCTGCTTTATTAAAGGTAAAAAGGTCATTGGACGTTACTAATTTTATAAGAAATTATTGTATTTTGTTATACAGGGTGTATCATAATTAATAGCGCAAATACGATCCGCAACACTTCGAGCATTTTCAAATGGGTATGTCAGTCATGTTTTCTCCCATAAAGGGCCACTTATGGCCGGTTGGCGGTTTAAAATATGATTTCAAAATGCCAATTTTCTCAGGGTCGTAAAAATTAGGGGCAAAAGAACCTCATACGTTCCTAAAGTCTCCGTCATTGTCATACGAATAAAAATTTAATTAGCGCTCAAAAGTAGCTAATGTTACGATGGTTACGATCTCAATTGGAACCGCATAAAAACATTTAACTCATAAATTCTACGGAATCCATAGACGTCCAGAAAAATTTAGCCCTGTCTCGCCTATATTCCGAGCTATATTTCCATATAATTACCATACGATTGTCAGGTTTTTTATGTTTAAAATCGCATTGTAATAAAGCATGTCTAAAGATTTTTAATTATAATCAGGATAATCGCTTAATTTATCTCGAATCATGTTTAAAATGGGAACTTTATTTTCTTTATACATATTATAAATTGTGCGTCGCATTACATCTGGTAAAATCGTCAATTTTCTTTAATTTTGTATATTTCCATTTCCTCTTTGTACCGTGATCAAGCCCTCTTTTAATAAATTGGCCTTTTTTGGATATCTTGGTTAATTTTTTAATCCGTTTTCTAACTTTTTTATCGCATTGTTCACTATTTTCAATTTTCAAACATTCATATATATTTCATATAATACGTTGACTTTTTATGTGTAAACCTTTGTTTTTAAACTCTGAGTTTGTTTCGATACTTTCGACAAAAACTGGTTCCACTATTTGGAGATTTTTCCGAGTTATTTCGTTATCCTCCGCTTCAATTCACCAATACCGGACTCGCCGCATTGCTATTCGAGTATAAATTACGAGACACATCATGGTCAAAGCATAAGAAGAAATTTCAGGAGAAGTGCATACGGTCCTGTGCTTTAAGATTTACAGGTTCCAATTGACATCGTAACGACTATACTTGCAGCTGTTTCAATTTGCGCTATTAATTATATGACAAACCCTGTATAGCTTCTCGTCTACAAAAAGTCACCTGCAACAAATTGGACTCATCATTTTCCGCCCTCGAAAAAAAAAGACATCAGTCATTTCGATAGCCGGCCTCACGCCCTTGAAGATAAAGTGCTTCGCGCCACCGCTACATAGACACCCCCTTAACGACCGAACGCGCGGACCCCCGCAAAAATGCAACTCATTAGGTGCTTTTATCAGCATCTACCCTCGCGAGTGCAGCTTATGTAATAAATTAGAGTATTATGGTTGTGCCACTTTATAATACTTGAAAAGGAAAACGCATCTCATCCGGTGTTGAATAGCGTAAAAAACATGTTTTGGGTAAGGGGTTTCTTTTTCACTACAAGGCGGGGATTTTCCAAGGCGATTATGTTGACGTAGCTCGCCCGCAAAGGAGTGTTTATAAAGGCTCTTGCAGACTGTACAGGAGACAAAATAACAACTGTCGGAGACAATTAAAGGTGGGTTAAAATGAGGAGGTTTAGGTAAAATTTTATACCATATTTCTTGTGGCATTTTTTTGCCCTTATTTAAATAAGTTTTAAAACGGTATTGAATATTGAAGATAACGTTTGATAACATATTTTTTTAGCTAACAAACATTTTTGGTAAACAAGCGTTTGTAACAGGATCGGATTTTGCTTAAATTTAAACTGTTCACGATTTAATTTTCTTGCTGTTTTGTTTTTTTTTGGATCAATTTAATGTATGTCTAGCTCCGATTGACTGCTGAAAGAGCTGAATAAGAAAAAAAAGTAGAAACGTATAGTATTTTCTTTACATTTTTATAATACTTACTCGTTTTCTGTCTTTCTACGTACTGACAGAAAATAAATTATTTTTATTTACAATTAGTAACATTTCTTCGTACCAACATTAGTTAATATTTAATAAATTATGTACAGTACAAATTAGTTTTTTTAAAAACAATACAATGTTCGTCCATCTTGATTAGGGTGGCCCAAAAAAAACGAATATTTTTGTTTTCGTGTCTCTTGTGAAAATATGTTAGTTTATCATGTTTTAAGAGCCCCCTCAAAAAATCGGCTCAAAAATTTTTTACAGGTCGCTCAAGATTTTTAAAAATTTCCAAAATCGTCAAAAATAGAATTTAAAAAAAAAATTGTTTTCTCGTTATTTTATCATTTTCTAGGTTGAAAAAAATCTCGATTCTGAAAATTTCAGATCGATATTTTAATTTCTAAAGGTCTAAAGGTCATTCATAATTATTTTAACTTTCAAACCTGTTTTCGAACGACCTCTAAAAAATAAATATCAACGAACTAACAATTTTTTTTTATTGAATTTGATGAATAAAAGAATAGAAATAAATCACGAGAATTTTAAAAAATTATAAATATTTAATACTCACAATGCGGTAGTAAATTTTGCCTTGGGAAATTTTTTAAATGTTTCGTGATTTATTTCTATTCTTTTGTTCATCAAATTCAACGAAAAAAATGATTAGTTCGTTGATATTTATTTTTAGAGGTCGCTCGAAAACATTTTAGGTACACTACTTTTAAAGTTAAAATAATTATGAGTGATTTTTAGAAATTAAAACATCGATTTGAAATTTTCAGTAGATTTTTTCAACCTAGAAAATGATAAAATAACGAGAAAAAGAATTAAAAAAAAAAATTTTTGACGATTTTGGAAATTTTTTAAAATCTCGAGCGAAATTAAAAAAAAAAAATTTAACCTAATTTTTGAGGG